TGCAGCCATTTCTTCCAAATTCACCCATGCGGCCATGCATAACTTAACTGCTTGTACTTGGAGTACGTGAGGAGAGTAAACATACTTCATAAGGCCATTTCTGTCCTAGTTTTTACCGATTAGCTCGTAGAACTTGGAGCTGTTTTCTTTAAAGAAAGTACATTTTTGGAAATCTGGAATTGCAATATTTATTGCCTCTTTTACTGCAGAGACATGCATACCATGGTAATGACCCCGGAGAATACAGAACTAATGAGGAAATCTATATATACAATGGTTTTCACTTTGAAGAACATTGAGGTATTTGTTGCTTCTTGCTTGTATTATAGTTTTTCTTGTATTTATATGCAACCACTATTAATTAATTTAAATGGATCCATAACTTTACAGTGTATAAGCTCGGATGTTTTGGGATTCACTGGTGACGAAGCCACCAGACGGAATCTGAAATTGCTCATCAAGTCACTCAGCAGGCTATTGTGAAACCCAAGATGCTTACTGGCGACACTTGATATCCAAATTGATTGAATGCAAACACCTTCTATGAACTTGACTACAATATTATCCATCTGACATGGAGCCTCGTTTGGACATCTGTTGAAGGAGCAGTTTTGGGATTTTTTAAGGTAGAGTATGATCTGTTTTACCAGCAAGTGTAGGAGATGAACATCGTCTTTAACTTATTCCCATCTTTGTGTTTTTCTCTGGAGCTTTTGTGATTATTCACGCATTCTTGTATTCAGATTACTGGCTGGGAATATACAAAATAGTTCAGACAGAAAAGATCATGTGCCTCCGGAGGGACGGGAGGCGCCGTCCGGCCAAGGCCATAAGAGGCCCTTCCCGGTGGAGTTTTTTGATGAAATTTTCTGAGCATGTTCCTCATCAAGTCTAGTTTATCCATACCATATTTCAGCTAAAATATCAACTGGGAAGGCACTCAAATGATTTTTGGAAGATAAATGCGTTTTATATGTATATAAACTGCGCAGTTAACTTCCAAAAATCATTTGACTATCTTCCCGATTGAATTTTTAGCTGAAATTTGGTATGGATAAACTAGACTTCATGAAGAACATGCTAAAAAAATTTCATCAAAAAATTCCACCGGGAAGGGCCCCAAATGGCGACAACCGGACGACGGGTCCTGTCCCTCCGGCTGGACAGGATCAGGCCTCAGATATTTTTGTTTCAAATTTATACTTTCTTTGGATTTAATGAGATGATTGTATGTTGTGAACATTCTCATATGTATATTTGTTAATAAAAGCTCCTATAATATGGGAAAAGCTAAAAATTGATAGTGTAACCTAAAATCACTAATAATCTAAAATCTAATGAGATTATGAAAAAAAACAAATAAGAAAAATTTACACTTTTAATAAATATTCTCTTTGACAACATCACATTTAAAATACATTTTTCTAAATAAAAACTTCATCAAAAATTGAGAAAAGCTGTAGTCTATTTAGTTTAAATTGAAAAGTAATTTTAAATTATTTATTTTGATTATTAACAATTTAGTGGGCAGAATAAAAATTACACATTTAGTAAATAAATAAATTAATAAGATTGATAAGTTGAAATTTGAGGCTACTAAACAGAGTAAAAATATATTACTTGTAAAGCAATGCACCTTTGTTGTAATCCTTCCCAACGAAAATTATTTTATAATTTTTTATGATAAAGATTGATTTGAACATATATTCCCGAAATAATACGGTGTAGTATCTTTGTTCTTAAATAGATGTAACATTTTGAATTTTCAGCATTCACATCTTTCACTTTGACTATATTTTATTTATTACTTTGACCATATTCACATCTGTTAAATATGTATTAATGTATTCACTTTGACTAAATTTATTGTTAAATTAAGATTTTATTTTTTGAAATTTATTGTTAAATCACTATTAGCCCCCTGAGGTTAGGCCATAATTATTAATACAACCTTGCGTTTTCAAAAATCAATTACTTAACCCCTGAGTTTTTATCATTCTCACTGTTTACCTCCTCTCGTTATTATTTGTTATATTAAATTGAATATAGCTTTTAAATTTACGCAAAATTGTCTATAAAATTAAATTTTAGAGTAAAAGAAGATGACGAGAAAGCTACAAAAGGGTCTGGATCTACAGCCAGAGGAAGGAGGCTAGGAAGGAGGCTGTTGAGGGTGCGGGAGGAGAAGAGGAAACGAGAATATGATCGTCTTCACAACTATCCTTCTTGGGCCAAGTATGTCTTTGCTACATCAGGTATTCTTCTTCCCTCTCCTTTTACTCTTTTGTTACTCACAGGGTGTTCTTCATCTCTTTTCATGGGTTGTGCTGTTTGAATTAAATATGGACTTCCAATAATATTGTTGATTTACTTGACTGAGATACATACTTGCTGTAATATTCTTGATTTACGTATGGTTTACATATGAACTTGCTGCAATCTTGTTGATTTGCTTGACTGAGATTATATATGTGTGCCATATACACAAATGCATATGTGTTGCATACTAACTGTTTGTTAAAATGTCTAAGTAAGACTTAATGATAATATATGTTAAAATTTAACCCAACATCTTAATTGAAAACATAGATTTTAATGTCTCAACACAGTTTGGTGTTCATTCTTTACAGTTTATAATTAACCTTGGATTCTTCTTCCAATTTTGACCCGCCACTGGACCCACTGGAGATAGTGCAACAACAGTGTCATCCCCCATCACGGTTTCATTTTGTAGATATTGAGTTTAAATCATCTCCATTCCAAGAGGAGTATCAGTACCCCTTGAAATCGGGATTATGATCGTTTGTCCAAAATCATAAAAAGTGCTTAGAAGAGAACGGTGGTATGTTAAGGCTCCTAGTCAAAGAGACCTTACACGTCGCATTTTGAACAACCCTGACTATGAATCCCTTGCCCGCCCATTTGATGAGATAGCGGAGGAAATCTTTCATTTATTACATGCACAAGTATGGGTAGGTCATAACATCAAACATTGTGACGGTACCGTGCTTAGGGGCCCATTTGAAGCTACAAGAATGTCATTCTGGGGTATTGATCTAGCAATGGGTGAAATGACCAGTCATCCATACCCGAGTCCCAGGAGAGTGATAGATACTTTACTAGAGCTTAATAGGTGTGACTGTGTGAGTTTCAAAAAGGGAGCAGAGATATGTTTTCCAGTAAGAGTTAACTAACCATTTCAAAATGGGGGAAACACAAAAGCATGACTCAATTTCAGATTGTGAGTTGCTCCTGCAAGTTATCAAAAATTGCAGCGACGTTCTTTTTTTTGGAATCGCCTGAAAAATATTATTCTTGTGGGGCAGCCATACATACAGATGTAAGTGAGAAGAAGAAGATTAAAGTGAAAAGAACGACAAAAAGAGGAGGCTCTTAAGAGCCGGGTCCTAAAAAAAGTGCGAGTTTGTTCCCATGCTATCTGGCCCTATCAAGAAAGAGCCAAAGCCCTCAATCCATCCTCCTTATTACCTACCACAAGCTGATGGATGGTCTGGGTCCTGTCCCCCTCTGCCAGCGCCCTTAGCAGCCGTTCCCTATGTTGATCACCAGAACAAGACTTTAAGACCTGAATCAAACAAGTGTCCAATTTGCTGTCAACCCATTGAAGAGCTTCTGGAGGGACAACGTGCGCTCTTAGTTCAGTACCCTCAAAATCAAATTGGATGAAAGCCTCGCACATCTACAAGAGCGGGTAAGGCGCTTAGAAGAAGACTAATGTACTCTCAAAATCAAATTGAATGAAAGCCTCACACATCTACAATGGCCAGCAGGCTTAACATTTTGATGGCTTTCTTTTTCAAATATGTGTTGGTGATGATAGGTTTGAATGCTGATCTCTCTGCCCATCTCTTCTTCTGGTGTGCCTTTTGTTTCTCTATCATTTTATGATATGGATAAGACACTGACCCACTTGATTTTGTAAACATTGTTTCTTTTTTTGAAAGAATTTCTTTATGTTTAGGAAAAAACTTTAAATAATGCTATTCGCGTCCCCCTAAATTTGAGTCAAAGAGTTATGGTGTGATTTTTAAGAAAAAGTAGATTTGTATGGTTGATATTGAATTGATAAAGTGTAAATGAATCGTGGCCACTCAAATATTATACTACGTAAAATATAGTATGAGATAATCTTAATGGGACAGATGAAAAAGGTAAAACGACACAAAGTTAGGGGAGCGGAGGGTATACAAACTATCTGCTAGTTTGTGATGTTTTTAGGGAACGGCTGCTAAGGGCGCTGGCAGAGGGGGACAGGACCCAGACCATCCATCAGCTTGTGGTAGGTAATAAGGAGGATGGATTGGGGGCTTTGGCTCTTTCTTGATAGGGCCAGATAGCATGGGAACAAACTCGCACTTTTTTTAGGACCCGGCTCTTGAGAGGCTCCTCTTTTTGTCGTTCTTTTCACTTTAATCTTCTTCTTCTCACTTGCATCTGTATGTATGGCTGCCCCACAAGAATAATATTTTTTAGGCGATTCCAAAAAAAGAACGCCGTTTCAATTCTTGATGACTTGCAAGAGCAACTCACAGTTTGAAATCGAGTCATGCTTTTGTGTTTCCCCCATTTTGAAATGGTTAACTAACTCTTGAAGACTACTGTAAAACATACCTCTGCTCCCTTTCTGAAACCCACATCTATTAAGCTCTAGTAAAGTATATATCACTCTTCTGGGACTCGGGTATGGATGATTGTCCATTTCACCCGTTGCTAGATCAATACCCTAGAATGACATTCCTGTAGCATCAAATGCGCCCCTAAGCACGGTACCGTCACAACGTTTGATGTTATGACCTACCCATACTTGTGCATGTAATAAAGGAAAGATTTCCTCCGCTATCTCATCAAATGGGCGGACAAGGGATTCATAGTCAGGGTTAGTTCAAAATGCGACGTGTAAGGTCTCTTTGACTGGGAGCCTTAACATACCACCGTTCGCTTCTAAGCACTTGCAATGATTTTGGACAAACTATCATAATCCCGATTTCAAGGGGTATTGATACTTCTTGGAATGGAGATGGTTTAAACTCAATATCTACAAAATGAAACCGTGATGGGGGATGACACTGCTGTTGCACTATCTCCACTGAGTCCAGTGGCGGGTCAAAATTGGAAGGAGAATCCAAGGTCAATTATGAACTGTAAAGAATGAACACCAAACTGTGTCGAGACATTAAAATCTATGTTTTCAATTAAGATGTTGGGTTAAATTTTAACATATATTATCATTATGTCTTACTTGGACATTTTAACAAGCAGCTAGTATGCATTTGTATATATGGCACACATATATAATCTCAGTCAAGCAAATCAACAAGATTGTAGCAAGTACATATGTAAATCATACGTTAATCAAGAATATTATAGCAAGTATGTATCCCAGTCAAGTAAATCAACAATATTATTGGAAGTCCATATTTAATTCAAGCAGCACAACTCATGAAAAGAACACCCTGTGAGTAACGAAAGAGTAAAAGGAGGAGGGAAGAAGAATAGAGGAGAATGGGGGAAGAGAATACCTGATGTTGCAATGAAGCTCCGATTGATAGAGAAGCTGGCCGCGACAGATTGAGAAGATGAAGATGGCGCGAGAACTTGGGGGCAGAATGAAGCTCTGAGAAAAGAAATACTAAAATGGATAAAATAGAGAATTTAGTTTTTTTAGAGTTCACATAGCATACAAATAAAATAAAATATAGCTTTCAATCATAAAATATAGCTTTCAATCATGAAAAAAACTAGAATAAAGCTTTCAATCATAAAATTTTAGTGACATCTTACTTTTTGACAACAGAAAATGTAAAAGTGAATAAGAAAAAAATAACACAAAATCATAACTTGTTAACACAAATAGGAAAATAAATTCGAAAAAAAAGAAAATTTAGAAATAAAAAAATGAGTAAAAATATTTTATTTTATTTAACTTCAGTACATTTGTAGAATTTTTATAATTATTTTTACATGTTTAAAAAAAATTAATCTGGCAATTTTATCTTTTTATTTTTATTTTTCTAAAACTGAGAGTTTATAGATGAGATTAATAAAAGAAGATCAAGTATAGTTAGAATTATTTATAGCTTACGCATAGTTCACATTTAAATTTAACCTGCTATACCAGGTTGTAGCAGGTTAGGGACTATTTTTGGAAAATAACCCCTATAGTTGGGATCACTCAGGAATAATCTATAGTTAGGATTATTAATAGCGGACTGACAATAGTTGAGATTTTTATTTTCAATTTTTCCTTTTTTTTTATTTAACCACTTGTCCAAAAAATTGTCTTATTTACCCACGAGAACCTTCCAACGGAACAGAGTAATAAAATATTGTACTTTCCCGTGATTTCTTTATCTTGACCCTTGCAGTTTATTGGTGGTTAATGCTCGGTTGAAAATGTAAATAGTTATGCTACTATGAGCCCGTTTGGTAATATCAAAATTGGCTGAATCGACTGATTGTGTTGAAATTTATGAAGTTCTGACTGAAGTGGCTGCATTGTTTGAAATTTATGAGCCCGAGCCCAATGATTCCTTTGATTTTGTAAGGCCCTTCCCAATTTTTGGCAAATTTTCCACCCTCCAAAGGTTTGCTTGTAGACCTTCTTAGAACTAGGTCTCCGACTGAAATGATCTCGGTCTGACCTTTGCATCGTGGTATTCCTTGACCTGCCTTCTGTAGTTTTCAGCCCTAATGAACGCATTGTCCCTCCTTTCCTCGATCAGGTGCAGTTTTGCCCTTAGCATATCCTCGTTATTTTTAGGATCTTAATCCTCCACCCTTTTGCTTGGGACTAAGGTCTCCAAAGGCGCTCGGGCTTTGAATCCATAAGTCAGGGCAAAGGGAGTTTCACCAGTGGCTTTCCTTGGAGTAGTTCGGTACGCCCAAAGTATGTTGTTGAGTTCATTCACCCAATTTGTTCCCATTGACCCCAACTTCCTTTTGAGGCCACTAACGATCGTTCTGTTAGCATTCTTGACTTGTCCATTGCATTGGGGGTATGCAACGGATGCCCTGCTAGCCTCAACTCCCCATTGTTCGCAAAATTCTTTGAATGGTTCGGAGTCAAATTGTTTCCCATTATCAGTGATGATTTGCATGGGAACGCCAAATCGGCAAAATATGTTCCTCCAGACGAACCTTTTGCATTGTTCCACAGTTATAGTAGCCATTGGTTCAGCCTCAATCCACTTTGTGAAGTAATCAATTGCTACTATCACAAACTTCCGACCTCCTGAGCCCGGTGGGAAGGGTCTAACGAGGTCTATTCCCTATCTGGAAAAGGGGATCGCATTGCTGATGGGGTGATATAATGTGGCAGGCCTGCCAGGGTTTGTTTGAAACTTCTGGCAGACCTCACACCTTCGTGCGAAGTCCACACAATCCTTTATCATTGTAAGCCAGAAATATCCTTGTAAAAGAGCTTTCCTACTTAGGGTAAACGCACCTTGATGGGATGAGCAGGTCCCTTCGTGTAGTTGTTTGATCACTCGTTGCGCTTGTTCTGGCCTAAGACATTTGAGTAGCACGCCATTGTAGCTTCTTTTGCAAAGTTTGTCATTCTCAATGATGTAGTTCGGAGCCCATCTTTTGATCAACTATGTCTTCTCTTCATTGGAAGGCAATGTTCCAGCCTCCTTGTATTCCATCAAATCTTCGACCCAGGATTTTTGCCCTTGTTCGAGAGGAAAGACCTCCAGGTCCTTTGTGACCTCAATGCTAGGTTTATCCAGCTCCTGTACCCGGGCTATGTGCATAAGATGTTCAGGCGCATCTTCGGTCAGTTTTGACAAGATATCTGCCTCATTGTTTTGGGCTCCGGGAACACATATCAGATCTGACTCCTCAAACTGTTTGATAAGTTCCAAGGTTGTGTCCCTGTACTTCTGCATCTGTTCTTCTTTGGCTTTGTATTCCCCTCTAAGCTGTTTTATGACCAACTTAGAGTCGCTTTTAATCCTCAGTTTTTGCGCTTTGAAGTGGATTGCTATCCTGAGGCCTGACAGTAGGGCCTCGTACTCGGCATCATTGTTGAACAGGTTAAACTTGTATATGAGGGCGTGATAGGTTTTGAAGCCTTCAGGGGCGATGAGGACCACCCCTCCTCCGCAACCTTCGGACCCTGATGACGATCCACCAATCTCCTTCTTCTTTTCGTTTCTCCTTGGCCAGATCCCGGGCAGTACATTCAACCAAGAAATCTGCCAAGGCCTGGCCTTTGATTGATGATCTAGGTTGGAAACTTACTTGGTACTGGCTGATTAACAAGGATCACTTCACAATTCTGGCTGTTTAGCCGTCCTGAACAACGTACCAACTTCCAAGTCTGACAATACTTTGATTGGATGAGCTTGGAAGTAATGCGTCAGTTTCTTGGCCGCGGTGTAAACTGCGACGACGGTCTTCTCCAGGGCTGGATATCTGAGTTCAGCCCCATGTAGGACTTTGCTGATGTAATAAACCAGTTTTTGAACCGATCCTTCCTCGCAGACCAAAACTGAGCTGACTGCACTTTGAGTTACCCCTAAATAGAGTGTAAGGGGCTCACCAATCTCAGGCTTGCTGAGCAGTAGGTCTGATTGTAGATACTTCTTGAGATCCTCAAATGCAGCTTGGCACTCCGGAGTCCACTGCAACCCATTGCTCTTCTTCAAGACTTGAAAGAATGGCAAAGATTTGTCCGCCGACTTGGATAAGAATCTCCCCAAGGCTGCCAGCCTTCTAGTCAGGATCTGGACCTCTTTTACACTTTTGGAGGGTTCCATGTCCAAGATGGCCTTCACCTTCTCTGGATTGGGCTCAATGCTCCTGTGTGTCACCATGAAACCCAGGAAATTTCCTCCTTGGACTGCGAAAGTACATTTTTTAGGGTTGAGCCTTAAATTTACTTCCCTCATGATGCTGAAAACCTCCCTCAAATCGTCCGCATGATCGTTCGCCCTTTGACTCTTGACAATCATGTCATCAACATACGCTTCCATGTTACTTCCCAGAACTGATTTGAATACTTTGGACACCATCCTAGTGTAGGTAGCCCCTAAGTTCCTCAAACCGAAGGCCATGACCAGGTGGCAAAAGACTCCCTCTGGTGTGATGAACGAGGTTTTCTCCGCGTCATCCGGGTGCATCGAAATCTGATGGTATCCTCTGAATGCGTCCATAAATGATAGGAGTTCACACCCAGCAGTCTGATCTATACCAGTTGATCTATGCTTGGCAAAGAGAAAGGATCCATCGGGCAAGCTTTGTTAAGTCAGTGTAATCCACGCACATCCTCCAGGTTGGTGGCTTTGGAGCTAAAACCACGTTGGCAAGCTACTCCGGATATTGGACTTCCCTAATGTGCTTTATGCCCAATAGCATTGCTACTTCCCCTTTAACAAATTCTTTTCTATCCAAAGACAAGTACTTGTGTTTCTGCTTAACAGGAGCAACCTTTGGATCCACGTTCAGATGATGAACTGCTATTCTGGGGTCGAGCCCTGGCATTTCCTAAGGTGCTTAGGCGAAGATCTTCTCGAATTCCATCAAAACTCGGACTATCCTAGCTTTCAGGTCGGGTTGGAGTCCCGCACCAATTTTAACCCGACGTTCTGGCCGAGCTGGATTGACTCTGACCTCCTCGAGCTCTGAGGTAGGCTGGGCTTTGAACTGCCCCTCCTCAAATTTTGTCAAGTCCTGTTCGATGGCATTTACTGTAGATTCATTCCTGCCATGAGCTTTGCAAGCCCTCACATAGCAACTCTTGGCCATCTTTCGGTCTCCTCTCACTGTTCCTATTCCCGCGGGAGTGTAGAACTTGATGCACAAATGAGACTGGGAGATAATGGCTCCCAGGTCTTCCAAAAGAGGTCGGCCGAGGATTGCTTTGTGAACACTCGGCAGTTGCACCACCACAAAATCTATCTTGACAGTCCTCACACATGGTTCCGATCCGAGCTGGATCTTGAGGGTGATTACTCCCTCGGGCTCAATTGTGTCTCCTGTAAAACCTGACAACAGGGTCTTGACGGGCTTGAGGGCTGCCTTCTGGAGACCGATCTCATAGAGGGTGTCCATGCATAGAATGTTCTCTGAACTTCCATTGTCCATGAGGACTCGATGGACAATGGTGTCAAGAACCTCCACTTTTACCATCAGCACATCCCTATGTGGTGGAGGACACGGTGGCAGATCATCGTCGGTAAAGATAATGGATTCCCGCTTCTGCCTCTTGTCAGCAGGGCGGCGGTTAATCTCCCCAATAAAGAGTTGTCGATTCCATTTTTTTCTCTCTGCCGCAGTGTCCCCGCCCACGGGTCCGCCATAGATCTGGTTGACGTTTTATCGCTTCTGCCAGCCTGAATCTTCCCCTTCTTCATCATCCTCAAACCGGGCTCCGACCCCCCTTTTCTTTGAGGTTGAGGCCGGCTCGTCTTTCTCCCTGTTCCAGGTGTTCTTCCTTTGAGGATCTTGATTCTGCCGGGCCTTCTTGATAAATTGGTCCAGTTGTCCGTCGCGGGCTAGTTTCTCCATGTATCTCTTGAGGATATAACAATCGTCGGTCTCATGGGTATCGCTTTTGTGTATTTTACAAAACTTACCCTTGTGAGGTTGACCGTTTACAATATTACATTGCTCAGGGATTGTGATCAAACCATGCTTGGCCGCATACTCTAGAACTGTATCAACTGGAAACTCAGGCTGGCTGGATAAGGGTCCTTCTGGAACGCTCGATCTGCCCTTTCCCCAACCTTTCTTCTTCTTTTTAAACCTGTTCCCCTTTTCATGGTTATGGGTTTCTTTCTCTGAACTCTTCTTTTTTCCGTCGTTAGGCTGAGACTTCCCTGACTCCTCATCTCTCTTTCGTTTCTCTGCTTCCTCCACCGCGGCCTGCGCGTTGGCACGCAGTAAGGCTTCCCCGTGTGAGGTTGGGGGCTCGCGTATGAAATCCTTGTACAGCTCGCCCGACCTCAGAGCGTTGGTGAGGATTGCCACAGCGGATTTGTCATCCAGGTCCTCTACCTTAACTGACTCATCCTTCCAACGAACTAGAAAGTCAACCAGGGTTTCCTGGGAGCCCTGCTTGATTCCCAGAAGGTGAGAGATATTCTTCTTGGAATATCTGGAGGTGGCAAAACGAGCACCAAAGGCGTGAGCCAACTCCCGGAAGTTCCTTATCCTCCCGTTCGACAAAGAGTCGTACCATTCCCGGGCTAGCCCATCTAGGGTTACCAAGAATCCTCTACACTTTGTAGCATCATCATACCCCATCATGACCGTGTAAGCCACATACCTGGAAACGTGATGTTGTGGATCTGTTTTCCCTTTGTAGGCCTCGATGTTGCATGGTCTGTATCCTTGAGGCAGTGGTGCCTTCATAATTTGCCTAGTAAAAGGCTCAGGAATTCGCACGCCATGCTCACGACCAATTCCTCCTTCGATCTCCCTTCTGAGCTCGTTCAGCCTCCTCCTGAGGTCGGTGTTATTGCGACCAGCCTGAGTGTGCACCGGAGATTGGCGGTCTCTTCGGGCTCGCCTATTCGCATTGATCTCGTTCCTTAGATCTCCCCCACGCGCACTTCGGCGGTGAGACGAAACGGCAGTCGAAGATCCACCCTCACTGGGCTCCACCCAAGAGGAAAGTCTATCATGAACAGATATTCTTTGCTCGCTAATCCGATTTGCCACCGGAATCCTGGGAGTCGCTCTGGATTGATGGGAGCGTTGAGATGGGGCAGGTGGAGAGTGCCTTTGACGTTGAGGGGAATTCTCCCCCCCTCGCAGGATTATGGATGGAGCCCGGCGGGGGGAAGGAGGTCTCCCATTAGGATCAGGAATGATACCTTGGAATGCAGTTGTCAAAGTTTCCACCGCCCTTTGGAACGTAGCGAGGCTCGCCAATGCTTGCGTTGGATCCACGTTGGGGATGTTGTGTCCAGTACCCGGCGTCTGAAACTGCAATGGACGCACCGCCGGGCGCCTGGAACTCCCAGCACCGTGAATCTGGTTCCTCAAATCACCTTGGGTGGTGACGTTGTCGTTGCGTCTCCGGAAGTCACTTCGTCGCGACCTCGAACCTTCGTCCTCGATCATGACTTGATTGTAACGATCTCCACCTTGACCGCTACCAACACGATTATGGCTGTTTGATCCAACCATGATTCTTCGCAGATTCAACTCTCAACGAGAGCACCAAATGATGGAGTTTAATCCAACTACGAGAGCTAAATTTACGTAGACGATGTAAATAATATCGAAAATAATATGAAAAGAATGTGGCAGCGTAAGGCAGTATTACTCTTATTCCGGAATTCAGGAATCGGTCCAAAGGTCCCTCCTGGTAGGGTGTTTACATCAAGTATTTATAGAGATTAGGATGTAGAATTATGGGAGGAATCTAATACAATAAATGCTTAATTAATAAACTATATTCTTGCTCGAAATAGAACTTCCTTCTGTGCTTGATTCCCACACGATTACTTTCTCCTTTTAGTTGCTGAATTCCTCTGTTGCCAAATAGCTATCTTCGAATGGTACCTTGCCACGTAAACCTCAGGAATATCCCGGCCTCACTAGAATTCCGCCCAGGCTCGAGGTCTGCTGTCCAGCCCGGCCTGACTGTGGGCTCCTATCGTGGGCCTGATTCCCAATGGGTCTAGTGGCTCATTCGATATTACTCTCGTTTATGGGTTAATCCTGTTAATTAGGCTGATCCCGTAGAGGGTTGATCCCGTTGATGGGCTTTGCTTTAATTCAATCTTGGACCATGGCTGTGATCCATGGTTCCATCAGGTTAATAACTTGTAATTTTTATTTTTTGGATTACTACTAGTTTATAGCCAATAGTTAGTACTCCATATTATTTTTGAGTCATTTTCTCCAAAACCGCTATTTAATATTACACCACATTTGTATAACATCTTTGCCGCTTCACAGCATAAGATTTTTTATTATGGCACCCACAAACTTGTATGTAAAAACAGTTTGTCCATAAACATTTAAGTTTGTGTTGTGTATGAGTGTATGACTATATCATAACAAATAACCTTGTTCAAGTGAAGGTGGAGTGTACAATTTGCATAATCCGCTTCTTTCACCATGTTAAGATCATAATACTGAAGAGATTTTGATACATGATGATACATACTACCTGCGTCGTCCCTAAAAACTCTGTCGGATCTCTAAAACTTTGACCAACTATAGATTTTTTTATAAATTATTTATAACATAAAAATGATATGAATGTGTTCCTTGTTAAAAATACTTTCAAAAAGTATAAAATTTATAACTTCTATAATATTATACTAAATTCATGGTCCAAATTTTATGAGGTAGTATAAAATGGGACAGGTGAGTATGTGTTACTCTCAAGTCTCATTGCAAGGGTAAAAGGACTGAAGCTATATATTGTTTTTTCCCATGTGAATGTAGTATAAAAGGAAGGTATGTGCGAAGCTGCAGGTTTCGGCAAGCGCCAAGAAGATCCTTATAATGGGAGGCACCAGATTTATTGGTATCTTTTTGTCCAGACTTCTGGTCAAAGAAGGCCATCAGGTTCATATTCTGTGCCAAACTGTTTTTTTTGCATTGGAAAATATCTATTATGGTGCGCATTGATATTAAGCACTGTATAGGTTACTCTGTTCACAAGAGGAAAGGCCCCAATTGCACAACAATTGCCAGGAGAATCGGACGGTGACTTTGCTGATTTGTGCTCCAAGGTTGTTGTGCCAATTAATCAGTCATCTCAAAGAACCATATGCCTTTCTTGCTTCTTCACTTGATCTTATAGTTCCAGTATTCTGAGAAAGCCTTTTTTAGATATTGCACTTGAAGGGAGATAGAACGGACTATGATTTTGTTAGGAGAAGCATCTCTGCTGAAGGTTTGGACATTGTGTATGACATAAATGGTAGGTGTGATGGTTAAACATCATCTTTGTTATGTAAATAAGTTAAATAGACCTAATAACATAACATAACCTGAGTGAGCATTAACTTTAAAAGATACTCGTAGATGTTAACAAAAGGTTGTATGGATGAAGATGTTACATCCAAGACAGAACAAATACAAAAGCTCACATGCAAGGTCTTAGACTACTCCTATTTCGTAGACATTTTTGGGGTGTCACCTTAAGTCTTCATAATGTATCGGAGCTCAGTAAATTACAATGAGCAATTCAATCTCGGCAAGTCTGATCCAATGATGGCCAAATTCGCAATGAGAGATACTTTAACAAGGACTTCTTATTCTACAATTTGAATTGCACGCCTGAATGCTTGATTTCATTTTTTCTTTTGAGCTTAACAAAAATACCTTGGAATTGGAAATGCTTTAGTTGTAATTTGCAGGACGGGAACCGGTTGAAGTGGAACCCATATTGGATGCATTGCCTAATCTTGAACAGTAAGCTAAGCTGCTTATACAAATTGAGATGTGACATTTGTTTTAAACATTATAGCTTAAAAAGTCCATTTGGAATGCGGAAAATGATAGGAGAACAAAAATGACAATTTTATAGGATAAGTATGGAAAGAAAATGTCGAGGAAATTTAAAAGTTGTTTCAAACTTAATAACTTTATTTTTAATAATTGTTCGAATTCATTGTTATCTATTTATCTCTATCATAAAAATACTAAACAATTTAAATGTATGTAAAAATTATAATAACATTAATCATACATCATTTTTCTTTGCATTTCGTGTCAAATCGAAACATAAAAATGACTTTCTTGAGCTTTTTCTTCCCTTCACCTACTATTTTTGGGGATCCAAACATAGCCTAAGTTTTGAGTTCTTTAATGAAGTAAAAATAGACTGCAGTGTTTGTTGGGGTGCATCATAATATAGTACTACGTATTACAGAACCAAATTTTCTTGACCACCACTATTTAGGTCTGGGAGGGTACTATTTGTTTTGACTATTACTATCGTACTTTTTTGTTGTTGAATCGTTAGGTACATATACTGCTCCTCAGCTGGTGTTTATCTCAAAACTGATTATTTGCCCCACCATGAGGTTAGCATATATCTTCATCTGTTTTTCTTCAGAAATCCATTCGTGAATGTGTTCTCATTCAACATACGTTTGACAGACTGATGAAGTTGACCTGAAGAGCAGGCACAAAGGGAAGCTGGAGACAGAAAAGTTATTGCAATCACGAAGCAGCGTTAATTGGACTGCTATAAGACCAGTCTATATATGGTCCCTTGAACTACAATCCCATTGAAAAGTGGTTTTTTCACCGCCTCAAAGCCGCCTGCCCAATTCCCATTCCCAACTCTGGAATGCAAGTAACCCAACTTGGTCATGTTAAGGTTAGTAAAATAGTACTCCCAATTCCGGAGTAATACATTGGAAATGAATAAATCATTAAACCCTGAAAATATATTCTCTATATTAAAGTGGATAGGATAAGTTAATAAGACCTAAGGTTGGGCTAACTTAATATATTGGAATTAGTCATTTTATGTGGCTTGACCCAATTGTCTTATGGTCTAGTTGAGTGCTCCCAACAGACCTTGAATTTGTAGCATTCACTTTTCACCCATACTGAAAAAGATGCAAACATTGTACAGATGATACTGAAGCAGGAACCAAAAAAACAAAAAACAAATGGCAACTTAAATTTGTTCGTAATATGTATGACATGTGCCTAGATTTATGTATGCAGGATCTTGCAAGAGTCTTTGTTCAGGTTCTTGGTAATGAAAAGGCAAACAAACAGGTGTTTAACATTTCTGGAAATAGATATGTTACTTTTGATGGATTAGCAAAGGCATGCGTGAAGGTTAAGTGTTTGTCTTCATCATTCTATTCGCCAGTCTCTCTGAAAGGTCTACATGCTAGAATGCTGATGCAACACTGCATTTGTTCCTTATGTTTTAAAACAGGCTGGTGGGTTCCCTGAACCAGATATTATTCACTACAACCCTAAGGAGTTCGATTTTGGTAAAAAGAAAGCATTTCCATTTCGTGATCAGGTAATTGTCTGGCAGATATGTTTTACAATTCTTCTACATGATGATCATTAATGAAAAAAATATTTGGAACATAATAATAAGATAAGTTCTTTTTCGTTTTCTTTGTTAAGAGAAAAATGTAACTATGGTTTTTCTGGGGGTGGGGGGCTACGCAGCATTTCTTTGCATCAATTGAGAAGGCAAAGCGTTTGCTGGAGTGGAAACCTGAATTTGGGCTGTTTGAAGGTCTTACAAACTCATACAACCTAGACTTTGGCCTCGGAACCTTTTGCAAAGAAGCAGACTTCTCCACGGATGACTTGATTCTTGGGAACAGTCTTTTTGGCTAGAGTTAGCCATGGCCTTTGTTTCTTTTCGTACCTTTAGGAAACCTTTCCATTGTGCAGCTTCTTCATTAAAAACAAAAATTGCGAATCTCATCACCTTGAGTTGATGTAAATGAAATAATAAATGCTTCTAGATACAGTTAATTTTCTATTTACCAGTTCTATGATATTATTATTATTATTATGTATGGCTAACACGCCTACACATGACTGCTTATGAAAAGTGCTAACTATGGCATATTGATGGTTTTTTGCCATAAGCATAGTGATAGTTAAAGCAACAACAAAATATATAATTCTTGTTTATACGTTCAAGTGTTATGACCTTACATATTGACTTCGATAAATAGATTATGACACATTAACTTGATGCCTGTTTAGTAATACGGAGTAAATGAGTAATAAATTTGGTTGGAATGTCAATTATACGGAGGGCAATAAAAGTGATTAAAATTGACTTAAGGAGTGTTTGCAGTTGATTAAAAAAAGTACTTTTCAACTTTTGGCTTAAAAAAAGTTAAAAAGAGTGTTTTCAAATGACAGCTTCTGCTTAAATTAATCACTTAAAAGCTAAAAGCTGGAAGCAGGTGGAAGGGTGCTTTAAACTGCTTTTCACTTTTTCTATTACACAAAAAGTACTTATTTTACCAAACACTATCAATTTTTACTTTTTCAGAAACACTTTTTCCTCAAACACTACCAACTTTTACTATTAATCACTTTTTCCCAAATCACTTTAAAAAATCACTTTTTTAAAGTTGAAGCAATTGCAAACACTCCCTTACTATATTATAAGTTTTTCAAGTAAATAATACGCAGTGCAATAAAAGTGTAAGAATAGTTTTGACCCAACCAGAATACCAGATCAGATTGGACATCAACCGTTGTAAAATACACATAAAATAAATATCTACCACAAATCAGTTCAGACTTCAGACAAAATCAAACATAAATTGATCAAACCAGAGTACCAGAACATAAAATTATAGAGCAATTAAAAATATCCTAGTTGTTGCCTAAATAAGGGGTGTTTGGATCTGATTCTTAAAATTGCTTTTATTCCTTCAAGGTAGGCGTGGACTCGGGCCGGTTTGGGCCCGGTCGGTCCGGCCCCCAAACCACCTCCAAATGGCCCAAAATACCTAGCCCAACCCAAAAAAAATGAAAAAAAAATTAAAACGAACCGGAACCGGGCCCGAACCAGCCAGGTCGGTTCGTGATTAAGGGGCCCGAGCCCGGACCGGAACCCCAGCGGGTCGGGCCTACCCGGACCAAAATCCCATCGGGCCGGGCCGAAACAGTGTCGGTTCCGGGTCGGGCCCCCGGCCCGAGTCCACCCCTACTTCAAGGAGCATAAGTTGGAGTGTTTGGGTGAAAGTGCAGAAGTACTTCTGGTGTTCTAATTTACTCCTAGAATCAATTTTTTTAGAAGTTGGGGATACCGGATTCTGAAAATTGATTCTAATTCTGCTTAAAAAAAGAACCAAAAGTAGAATCAGTTCCAAACACCCCCTAAATACAAAAATAATAATTTGCTCGGTATTTGCTTGACCCAACACAAATTTCATATACTTTAGTATAAATGTTATAAATATGCCGACCATACACGGTCATGCGGATACCACAACCATATAAACATTGTTTGAAGATATTATTTTATGCAAAACTGAATTACCTGATATGTCTAATGGTTTCATGACAACTTCACCCCCACCAATTTCACAATGAAATTCCCTTCTCTTGTACATTTTTATTTTGCCTATGTTTAGACTAGGGTTGAGCACGGATCTGGGAATTCCCATTCCGTACCGAAGAAACGTCCCGTACCGTTCCAGAACTGAAAGAACCAGAAAAATGTAATATCGTACCGTACCGTACCGAGCTTTTTTAATAATATGGTACAGTACCGGTTCTTAGCGAGAACTGTCCCGGAACCGTATTGAACCGAACCGTCTCGTACCATTCCGAATTGTCCCGAAAACTAGTGTTATAATATAACAATATATTATATACTACGTATAATATATTACCGAGTATAAATGTTAGTGACCATATGTCCCAAAACCTAGTGTTATAATATAATAATATATTACCGAGTGTAAATGTTAGTGACTGTATGTCCATATATTACAAATATGCAATCTTGCAAATTCTTTGGGCGTAATCCAATTATTAAGACTTGACAACATTAAAAGTTAGCTTTAAAACAAAAACAATACTAAATGATATAAACAATGATATGTAAATAGGGTTAATTATATTTCATGGGGGTTAATTATTTAGGAAGCAAATAACACCGGAGAACCGTACCGAACCGAACCGTACTGAAAATTGGTACGAAACGAGACAGGTTCTATGTATATGCGGGACGGTACCGGTTCTTGATTTTTAAAAGAACTGTACTTTGGGACAGGACAAGTTTTTTGAAATAACCGTCCTGTACCGTCCCATGCTCACCCATAGTTTAGACCCTTTTACCACACCCCATGTTTTCTCCATGAATATCTTCTTCTTTTTGAAAGATTCTCCATGAATGTCTAACCACCACAAAAAAAACATTTTGCAATGGCCAACCATTTTGTTGAGGAACTTCCATCTCCAAATACTAGATACATTTCCCTCAACAAATTTCTTTTCAATCTGCTTCCAAAATAGCTTATGCCTTTCAAGTCTCTCCTCTTCTCCTGGTTTCATCAAAACCCCATCAATTTACTGTTCTAGCCTCCTCCAAACATCCATCAAAATCTCCACCATCCCCGTCAAAGACCAATGGACATTGACAAGCTCAGAAGAGTTTTCCAAATGTTCGATCAGAACAGCGATGGACGGATCACCAAAAAGGGGTTGAGTGATTCATTGCTGAAGATGGGAATCTTCATTACAAATGAAGAACTAACCCATATGGTCGAGAAAAATGACGTGAACGGGGACGGGTGTGTGGACATAGATGAGTTTGGGTCCATGTACCAGTCGATCATGGATGAATAGGATGATGATGTGGACATGAGGAAGGCGTTCGAGGTTTTTGATCAGAACGGCGATGGGTTCATCACAGTTGACGAGCTGAAGTCTGTGTTGGCATCACTTGGGCTTAAGCAGGGCCGCACGATTGATGATTGCAAGAAGATGATCATGAAGGTGGATGTGGACGGTGACGGAATGGTGGACTTCACGGAGTTTAAACAAATGATGAGAGGGGGTGGCTTTGGTGCATTGACCTGAAAATTTATATGCATGCATATTTAAGTTAGTTACCCTACAGGCCTACACCATAGTTTTTTGTTACAAATATATTTCTCTTCGTCATAAGTCTTGTAAATATACGTTTGGCCTTTATGAACCAAGCCAAATAACCATAACATTATTAGTGGGCGGATTGGAGAAATTGTGGGGGTGGGTTGAGGGCGAAAGGGTAAAATATAGACTTCTAGGAATCAATCATTTGTTTCCTTTTATTTATTTGTTTTCTTTTTCTTCAAAGCTAACATACACCCATATTTTTCATGTTGTCAAAACTTTCTATGTTATTAGCACATTTCTATCTTTCTAATTTGTATTCTAAAAAGTAGTGATATTAGTTTTCATAAATAATTTCTTGAAATGCCAATTCATATAAATCCAAATTAACCTCTTTCACTAACCATCTTAATGAGAGATCTCTATCTATATTAATGTCTAAACTAAAAAGTAGCCATATTAGATTTTTATAAATAAATTCTTGAAATGCTAATACAATATAAATTCAAATTACTTTCTTTTATTAACCATCTTAGTAAGAGATTTACATCTTCATTCATGAGTATTACAAGAAGTAGCAATATTAGATTTTCAAAAAGACTTCATGAAATATCAACTCATATAAATGTAATTATTATTTTTCACTAGCCATCTTATAGAGAGATTGATTCATTTACATTTTGCACGCTACTTAAACAAAACATCCAGCATATACATTGTAATAGTGACATAGTTTATGCGACAAGGACATCATATACCCTTAGTCTATAGAACCAAGCCTGACAATTAGCGTGAGAAAAGTACATATCAAACACCAACTGCGCTATCCGGTGTATCCTCTTCCACACCATCCTGTGTATCAAGATGTGAAATTTGTAAATGTAAGCAATGTTATACATTAACCATGCTATACAACAAATTTGCATAATAAGTTATAAGTTTACAAGATTGCATCTATACACCCTTATGGTGGGACCCTTCCCAGATTCTCGCCTTGAGGATATGCCAATGTGTACCAGACTTCCCTTTCTAATACTCTTTAACTTTAACCCTTACCAAATTGCTCCCAATTTTTTCATGATTATGTTGAGGACTTGAGGTTATTCTTATATAGATCATTCCTGCAATCTTGAATAAAGGTTTGCTATATTTTGATATTGGACAATAGTCTTCTATGTTCGGTTTGAGTTTAGAAAAATAGTAATTAAAAAAAAATCATAGATTTAGATTCCATACCCTTTATAGAAAAAAAAAGATTCCATACCCTTATATAATAAAAATTGGTTTTAGTATCACGCGTTGCACAAGTATGCTGGTGCCCAATGTTATTTATAGTACATTAATATTTTGTCATTACTTTTTTATCGATACAAAAATCAAAAGATAAATTGGAATTGGCATTTCACATAGTTCTTGTAAACTTGCAGTTTGCTTTTTTATAATCTATGGATATATGAGCTTATTAAGTCTCACATTATGAGGGAGCACATTCTAAAGCCAACAACTTATGACATTGTTTGAGAATAATGAAAAGGGAGTATATTTATAAAGAAAGGAAAAATTGAAAATAATAATCTCAAAAATTGCCAGTTTGCTGATAATAATCCCAACTATTGATTATTTTTGTATAATCCCAACTATATGGACGGTCCGCCAATAACGGTCCATGACCATATATTACCTCTTATAACAAGTGAATTTTAAATAGAAATTGAGCGTAAAAATTAAAAGTTAGGATTATTTATAAGGATTACTGGCTATATCTCTTCTCATTTGCTTTAGAAACTACATAAATTTATTTACAGGGACATTATTGGCAGAGGGTCCCTAAAGTTGGGATTATTCTGAAATAATCGATAGTTGGGATTATTATGAGCGGACCACCAATAATTGAGATTATTACTATCAATTTTTCCTAACGCTAATTAAACATTCTCGTCCTTTCTGAAGCACTTCCATGTGGCTTGGTCTGCACAACAATGACATACAATATTACAGAGTATAGACAACTTTAATGCTAATGTTTCCATGTGTAATAGAATACGCAATAGTATATACAACTTTAGTACCTTGGTGAATTATTCAGAAGAAGACTCCAACTGAAGCATCTGTTAGTTCCGGATGCTCTTTGAACAAAGCTAAATCGCCATATAAGGCAGTCTCAAGTACCTGATAAACAAAGTGAAATTAATCACTTCTGGAATAAACTAATGACAATAAGTGACTATACTAATTAGCCAGGATAAAACAGAATGTTTGCTTGCTTGTGAATGTACTGATCTTATTCATGGGCTCCATTTACAATTGGTATAATCCCTATAGATCAATATTTTCCTTTCAGAAAAACTCTTCACGCTTGGTGAGCATTTGATATTCAAAATCAAACTCATCAGCCCAGCTCAGTCCAGATTCTGTGGAGTTCCAAAACTAGAAACTTGACAATATTGTTTTCTGGCAGAACGCTTTCTCGAATAAAGGAAACATCAGTTGAAGAGCATAATGACTGCTTCAATGACACTGTTAGCCGACCAGATTCATTATTAACTGAATACTTGGCAGAAAGTACCAAATTGCAACCTTCAACATCAAGAACCAAAAGTTGGTAAATTTCAAAACCAGGTTTCAAGATAGACTTCCTTAACCCAGCATTTATACTATGATCGTATAAATGTTCCGGAAGAATCATTCCTTTCAAACAAATTTGAGCATCAGGAGTAACTAGATCAATGGTTCTAGAAATGACATTTACCGGTTTAACCAATTCATTCTCGGACAACCTCTTCAGTCTTGTTGTAAAACTGAGGTTGATTCGTCTTACTGCAGGGTTAGAACTGACCTTCTGCACTTCAATAGCATCACTGTAATCCTTTTGGACTTGCAACCAATCCCACGAAAGGCTATTTCAGGCCCCATCCATGAAAATTCTTCCCCGGCTTTACTATTTCAATTTCTAACATATGTTGTAGAGGGCAAATCGCTATCATGCCCCTTGCAAATTGCAAAATGGCACACAAACAGTCAACAGTAATAACTTAACCCTTTACTATCATCCCCAGCTTGGTATCTGATTGAGTGAAATTTGATTCTACAAATGCAATATTCTGTGGATCATCCTGCACCAATGAATTTGCCAAGGCACCCAGGAGTATTACAACGCCGTCACCCACCAGAGATTTGTCCCGACTTTCAGCATAAGCAACACCCTTCTCCATCCCTCTTATATTAGTAAGTGTGTGAACCATGTTACCCCTTTCCCAATCATCATCTCTTTTCCAGAGAATCTTGATCTCTGTACCAGCAATTGCCATATGCGACTGGTTGTCAAAATCTACACCTCCATGGGTCCATCTTGAACATGTATACAAACTATTGGCATTCTCCTAAATTTTTTGCCAAAGATCAAGGCATCTGGGAAGAGAGCAGGATTGAGTTCATTGTCGCGCACCAGAAACATGTCAACGTAACCATCAGTAGTATATCCAACATTTTCCTTCCAATTCCCAGTTATTCCTACCCCCAACCCATTTTGAATATACTTGATAGAAGTAACACCATCAAACCTGAAGCCATCAAACTTATTCAGCCCTTCAAGAATTCTCTTTAATAAACAATGGTGCACCATATCCATTATAACAGCCAAGTCAAGTTCATAACTCTACCAATCAAACATGTAAAATATTCTGGGTTTTGGTCCAGTGCACGAGCATATCTCTGAACATCATAGGTAAGGATTCGTGGGTGAGACAGGCCCTCCTCATCAGCCCCTGTGATTTTGTTAATCTTCAATGGAAGGTTGCGGCTGATTAACAGACTTCTGCTGCGAACCAGGAGAATCTGATTGCGAAAAAACCTGCGAACGGTGAAAATAGTCAAGCGAAGAAGTCAGGGAACGAGGATCTTCTGCTGGCGACGAAGCTAGCGCACTATGAGACACAGCTTGAGATGCAATCTGCAAACTGGTAGAAGCCTCTCACGATGACGATTGGTGAGGAACGAGTAGCGTCGGCAAACTGGAACTGTGAGATGCGGCTAGAGACCGAGAAGAAACCTGCGAACTCAGAGAAACAGCTTGTGATGATGACTGGTGAGGAGTGGCTAGCGTTGAACGCGTTGAGCCCAGGCATCATCTAGAAGTTCGCGATCATCCCCTGGTTCTCCGGCGATTTTGATTCATCGCCAGTTGGCGCAACTCGGCCATCATTCCGTCCATCGTTCCGCGCATATTGCGCATGGCCTCCATGACCGATCGCACCTCTGTGGTGTTGCGCTCCATGTTGCGATCCATTTTCTGCTCGAGATTATTCCAGCGATTCTCCATTTGTGATCGGGTAAATTTCATTCACCAGCCACAAGAATGAACTGCTATGATACCAATGACAAGTACTCCAATTCCAGCAGATTACTTTTGTATATTCATCACTGGAATTCTGAGAAAATTCTCAAATTCCTTGAGGTATTACAAATCAACGTAAGAATTAGCCACAGTATAGAAGAAACTGAAATAAGACCCGACTGAGACACTTGGAGTAGTCTCGCACTCCCAAGCCTAATTCCAAATCCAATTTTTGGCTGCCTTCTTATTTTTCCCTCCCTTCTATTTATACTACCCGTACAGTTACTATTATTATTACTATTATCAGCCTAGTCTGCCTGGGTCCTATCAGTCACTTGTAAACTTAGGAGTGGTAATCTACTAATCTGTGACCAATGAAGAATGAGGAAAAAAGTGAAAGCAAAAATATGACGTGTGAAACCCTTATTTGTTAGTGTCTAAGGAGTGGAAGCTCTTGATGACTAAATAAATAATATACTTGTAAAAAGGGATCTCACCAATCTGTAACTAAAAAGGAGTAAATAATTAGAATGGATTCTGATGAGCCAATTATGGAGGACATTAGAGAACACTTGTGTAAAAATTCAAGCAAAAGAAAAAGAATCAAGGAAAGAAAAAGTGATCAAAACTGTAAAATAAAAACATAACAAATAAGATATGTATTATAATAGTTCATAATTATGATAATGCTAAACACAAAGCTGGCCACAAATACCTGAATGATGCAGAGATTTCAATTCATCCATACCGAGAATAGAAGAAGCATTGTGTTCAAATGTCAACTGATAAGCACAAATTTCCACGGCTATTTTGTATAAACACCGGCGACAGCCCCATAACTCCGAAGGTTAACAACCAGTGATGTCTCTTTCCGGATGACTCCCACCAGAACTCATGATCCATTTGCAGCAATCAATGATTTGCTCTCAAATGGCCTTCTCGCCGATGATGTACCCTTCTCCTCTTTGGGAGAACACATTCTATGTACTTAATCAGATATTGTTCCTCTGCTCTCACAGCTCCTGCCACACACACCCAAAAAGAAAAATCATAAATTATTGATTATTTAATCAATTCAGATAAGTTTACTTTTCAATCTAGAAACCAATAGATAAATAAAAGAGAACATCGTTGGACAAGTTCTTGAGAAGGTTATTGCAAATGAAGTTTGTGGCATCTGCGCCGCCACGGCCGTAGTATACTCCGAGGAAGGTGGATTGTGGTCCGACATCAAGCTGATTGCCTGATTGCAGTGCAGAGTATGAAGGGAAACATATCTTTCTAAGAAGAGCATCAGATGTTGTCATTAACAGTGGCTATGTTAGCAGACGGAGAGAGAAGGGTTAAATGGTTAATAAGACATGTACAATCAGCTAATCATAATGTACAACCCATTATAAAATAATATTACACCAACACATATTTATGTCCTTACACTTATTCACTCTAATAATATTTTAGATGTAAAAAATATAATGTTTTTGTACAAATATCTAAAGTTGATGTATTGAGTTTGAACCTTTTTGCCCCACATTTTCTTTTATCCAAATTCCCTCCCAATTTTTTTTGAGCACTTTACCAATCAGACTCTATAAGCTATGAGAAAGATGAAGAAATTACCATAGCCAAGAAAAGTCTTCTGAGTTAACAGGACGACACACCCTCTTTCCATATCACAGTGTACTGTTCCTCTATACCACCGTACCACGGTTCTTGTTACCAAAAATTGTGGCACGAACAATCACCATCCTCAAAGTGATGGAAACGGTAGGCGTCCCTGACAACAATGGCCCGATTTTCAACCTTAGACACACACTTAATCCAGCTGTGGCAGTCATTACAGACACGAAGGTTCTTCATGACACATAAGGGAATGTTGGCTGACAAGTTTAGAAGCCCAAATGCAATAGCTAATTTCTCACTGTGTACAAATGCAGTGGGGTCCTTCTGCTCCACCTCCAAACCATTCCAAAGACTGTTACTGTCTTGTACATAACCCACTCCGGCCACACGTTCATTCAGTTCCACCACAAATCTATGTATCTCATCTGCCATTGGGTGAAGCCTATCACCAACGAAGAAAGCATGAATTGTGTTTTTCACTTCGACCCAACTTTGGCCTGGCTCTTTCTTAACTCCCATGTCTTTCATTAGCTCCCTTATGGAATTTCTGTAATCCCATCTCCCGACAACTGCATATAAGTTTGATAGAAGGACGTAAGTTGCAGAAGCTTTGGGCTCCAATTCCAAAAGGTGGTCTCCAGCGAGTTCACCAATCTCGATGTTCTTGTGAACAGTGCAAGCGCTCAGCAAGGTCCTCCAAACCATTGCATCAGGTAGGACCGGCATGGTCTCCACAAACTCTCTTGCACGCTGAAGTTGACCGGCCCGGCCCATAATATCAACGACACATGCATAATGCTCCGGTCTTGGTTCTAAACCATGATCTTCACTCATGGATTTGAAGTAACTCAGCCCCTTCTCCACCAGCCTTATGTGACTGCAGGCTGACAAAACTCCCACAAAGGTAACATGGTTGGATTCCACCCCCGCCATTTTCATTTCCTCAAAGAGTTGAATTGCTTCATTGCCAAGACCATGTTGCGAGTAGCCAGTGATCATGGCATTCCATGATACTTGATTTCTGCAATTCATTTCTAGAAACTCTCTCTTAGCATCGCTGAGATTCCCACATTTTGAATACATTGTGATTAACACATTGGAAGATTCTATTTCGGAGTCATAATAACCAGTTTTTACCATCCTAGCATGAATCTGCTTTCCTTGCTTGATATTCGTCATATTAGCAGCTGCACTAACAGCAGGCCCATATGTATACATATTAGCTTCAACTCCATAGTGATTCATTCTTGAGAAAACTTTTAATGCTTCCTCATAGTACCCACTCTGGGAAAATCCAGATACCAGCCCATTCCATGAAATATTGTCTTTAGAATCAGTCTTGTTAAACACCAAGTACGCATCTTGCACCTTACCACATCTAGCATATAGACAAACAAGTGCATTTCCGATTGATAGATCATATGTGTATCCAGAGATGACCGATTGAGCATGGATTTGTCTTCCTGGATTGAGTGCTTGAATTCCAGCACATGCAGTTGTTGCACTGGCAAACCCAATATTGTCTGATTGAATACACCGGTCCTGCATTTGGTAAAAAAGCCTTATTGCTTCGACAAACTGATCGTGCTGAGTATATCCAGCAATCATAGATGTCCAAGAGACAACATCTTCCTCATTATCAAGATTCTTAAAGATTTCGCTTGCGGCATCCAATCTTCCATGCTTGGAATACATATCAATAAGAACACTACAAACATAAACATTTGGCTGAAACCCAGTTTTGATGACTTGAGTATGTATTTGCTCACCTAGGTCTATATCACCCACAGATGTACATGTTCTCAATATGCTAGGATAAGTGTACTGATTAGGTTGCAGACCTAGCGTCTGCAATTGGGAAAAAAGGCAAAAGGATTCCTTCAAGTCACCCTTCTGTCCGTAAGCCACTAGCATAACATTCCACAAAACTATGTTTTCCTTATTGGTCGTTTGGAAAAAGTCACGTGCAGTTTCGATATCTGAACATTTCACATATAGATCCAATATTGATCCTTCAATAACAGTATCTGAATATAGGCCCACCTTTGTTGCATATGAGTGTAGTTGTCGTCCCTTTTGAAGATCCCCAGATGATGAACACACACTCAAGAGGCTTGAAATTGTAACACAGTCTGCCTTCATGGAATCCATTTGCATTTTATCAAACAGTTTGAGTGCCCTATGATTAAGCCCTTGTAGGGAAAAGCCTGAGATTAGTGTGTTATAAGAGACTCTATCCCTGATATTCATTTCAGAAAATATATGATCTGCAGATATCAAGTCTCCACAACGAGAATATAATGATAAAAGAGCATTCCCCACATAGACATCACATAAGTATCCCCACTTCAAGATTACAGAATGGAATTGTTCTCCAAGTTCATGAAACGATAACTTCGTAGTGGCACTAAGAACACTTGAAAAAACATATGGAGTAGGCATCACTCCCAATCTACGCATATCATTATAAAGAAAAACAGTGTCTTTTTCATGACCATTCTGACAGAAGCCGGACATGATGGCAACCCATGAGGCACTGTCCCGGGAATGAAGATCCTCGAATACCTTTTTTGCAGAATCTACCAAACAGTTCCTAGAGTATAAATCAATCAGGAAATTGCAAACGATGCAATTCCCAGCAAAACCATATTGTACAATCAGAGCATGGATCTGTTTAATGGCATGAACATGAGATGCAATCTCAGGAGCACCACAAGCTCTCAGAATAGTGGTGAATGTACTCCTGTCTGGACAGGCAATTTCATTCATCATCCGCGAAAACATATAAAAAATCCTTACATCTTTCTTACACCCCGATATCAACTTATTCCACAGAGAAACATTTGAACTCCATGAAGGTGTGTTATGAAGAGTTTGTAATGCACCAGCCAAATCATCACTGGACATATACAAATAAAAAAGGCGGGTCCCAATAGTCGTATCACTGGCCAACCCCAATTTCAAGAATCTTCCTTGGATCTTTTTAGCGTCTGAGACAGATCCACTTCTAGTACAAGTATCTAGTAAGCTCAAACATGAGCTATGGTCAACATGGCCTGTACTTTTTTCAACACAATGAATAGGATCTAAAAAACTATTAGCTTCATAGTCTTCATCTGCGAAAACATCAACAATCTGGGAAGTAGCACTAGCCGTACTAGTAAAAGGAGCCAACTTCACTAACTCGAATGATTTCAAACAAGTGGAATGCGTCTCCTGCTGCAGTCCATACATTTTTTAAATTAAAAGTAAAAAAACGCAAGTAACACTGATAGAGGCGAAATAGATATGGAAATGCCGTTACCTTGAAGCAATTTGCAGACGGCCTGATAAAAGGATGAATGGATCCACCAAGTATCCTACCTAGCATAATAAACACCAAAAAAAATACTATATCTCGATTAACTACACAAATTTCGAATACAGTTGCTGTTTGTCCTGAATTCCGCCCACGGGCACAAAGAAATTGAGCAATGTGCAACCCAAGTGTCCTGAATTCCGCCCACGCCCACGGTTTATGAGAGGTTTTGGTTGTGGACTTTTGGAAGACTGGAACTGCCAACCGGCGATGTACATTCCCACAAGTCCCAAAATTAATTAAAGAGTGACAACTCCTCCTGTACCTTTCTAAAAACAAGGGTACCTTACCTAGCATTCATTTGATTGGACCACATCACTTTATCAATTTTAATTTAGATTTAATTAATTCAATTGCTACCTTTTCATTGGTTCATGTGGACAAGGGTATGGTACCTTATGGGTATCATAGAAACTACCTTAATTAAATTAATTCGGGGTATTGTCCATTTGAGTTTTTTATAAGAATATTACTAAAATAAAATATATTTACATAAGTATGATTATTCATTACTACAATGTGGTGTTGTGGTAACTTAAGTTCAAAACTTGAACATGAATTAATATGATTTCATTACAACTTTAGTCACTAATCATATTTTTATTTGGTCATATTTATATAATTATTTTGGTAATATTTATATAATTATTTCGTTTAGATTTGGGTTGCACATTTGAGTTTACTAGTTTTGTATGTAGTACAAACTTAAAGAGAAAATGGAGGCGACCGTTCCACACTTAATGGAAGGCTATCACCTTCCATTCCACCTGTCAGATGTACGGAGTATTTGTAAGCGAATACTAAAAATGTGCCCTTGCTTAGGAAATTGTATGTATTCTATGTCTTCTATGTTGGAATAAACGGCGCACATCTCCATCGCTCACTCCACTGAGTAGCCTTCCATTCCAGTCTAGGTGAAGGCTACCATTCACATACCCGTCGCCCTGATTGGTGAGTTCTTCAACTTCTTGTATTCGCTTCTGAGTTCTTGCCAATTCGAATGATATTTTATTTTAGTTTATTTGTTCTCCCAACTCGAAACGTCAATTTTTAAATTTCACATTAGGTCAGGAGGTCGTGATTATGATGAGTTCACTCTTCTATTATTTGAGCAGGGAAGGCTATCGGCTACATCAATAGAGTGTGTGCTCGAGAAGAGGGTTCCTCGGAATATAATAATGTTAGGGAATTCACTAATCAATGTTTCTACTAATTCTACCATGTTGCGTATACTTCCCAGTAGACCAAATGGTCAGGTGAATTTCTTGCCACCCTTAAGAACTCCAGCAATGCCCAAAAGCAGAGTCTCTAGCGTAATGGCAATGTCTGCAGAAACGGGTCATAGTCAGGAGCAGATACAAGAACAGTCTGGGCCCACTACTGAACGCAAAAATATATTCTCTGTTGTTTTGGATGTGCCAAGGAACATCTGGAGGCAGACGCTTCGGCCTTTGGGTGATTTCGGATTTGGGAGAAGGAGCATTTGGGAAGGAGGGGTAGGGTTGTTTCTGGTTTCTGGTGCGGTTTTGTTGGCACTTAGCTTGGCCTGGTTGAGAGGGTTTCAACTGCGCTCAAAATTTAGGAAATATATGGCTGTTTTTGAGTTTGAGCATGCTTCCGGCATCTGTACAGGCACACCTGTCAGGATTAGAGGGGTGAATGTTGGCAATGTCATTCGGGTTAACCCATCTCTGAGAAACATTGAAGCTGTGGTCGAGGTGTGCTAACCCACTAATCTCTGAGTACCCGTTTGGTAGGCATTTTTATGCTCAGTTGCCATTTTAACCCAACACTAACTTATTTCCCGTGCTGGCGAATTAGCTAATAATAGTAATAGTAATAATAATAATAATAATAATAATAATAATATAAAAAGTAGTGTAGAAGTTTTATTTTTTGCCAAAACAAATGATAGTATCATTTCAACCTTCATTTTTAGATATTTTTATTAATTACTTTAAAAAATTACTATTTTAGGTAATCATCATATTCCCACATGTGAGCAATTCAGTAGATTCAGCCATTTAAGCCTTACCAAACGGGCTCTAAATTACTTTTGTTGACTTGAATTGGATGGGGATATCATTATTATTTGGAAGAAATTCATCTTTTGTAGGTCGAAGATGACAAGATAATTGTACCTCGGAATTCAACAGTTGAGGTGAACCAGTCTGGCCTTCTCATGGAAACCGTGATTGATATCACTCCTAAAGACCCAATTCCAACTCCTACAGTAGGACCTCTTGATCAAGATTGTTTAAGAGAAGGTTTAATTGTGTGTGACAGACAAAAGATAAAGGGAAAACAAGGGGTGAGTTTAGATGCATTGGTTGGTATATTCACCCGCATTGGTCGTGAAGTGGAAGAAATTGGTGTTGCAAATACATTCTCCCTGGCTGAAAGAGTTGCATATGCCATTGAGGAGGCTCGTCCTTTGCTTGCCAAGGTATAAGGTGCATTCTGCTTTATGTTTACCCCATTATAGTTTTTTTTGTTCTGTAACTTAGGTGACAACTCTATAGTGACTGTGAGAAAACTTCATTCTTTCCTTTCATTCGGTAAATCTTAGTAGTAATTTAAAAGGATAGCTTATCAAGAGTACCTCTCAATTTGAGGCTTTGGAACAATGATTTCTACTTTAGTACGAAGTATGCAGGGTAAAATACGATCCAAACATCTAAGTGTGCAAAAAGAATTAATAATCAAGAGAGCTTCTTGATCTCAAGGGCTTTGGATGCTTATTTTGTATTTTAATACAAAGAGTGCAGGGTAATATAGGAGCAAAACAACACATTCAACATTTTCTCATCAAGATTGTATTTTGGGTTGCATTCAAAACGAGAGTTAGATCTCTCCATGTGTTAGGCCAAAGGTGACTTGAGTATATACGCAATATGTTTTCTTTGCCAGTCATCTAGTAAACCCAATTTCACTGCTGCCTAACTTTGCCTCTCCAAATGTACAAATTTCCTTAGGATATCCAAGTTTCAAATGCATTTTCATTTATTAAGTAAATAAACCTAATCATGCCCCATTACACATTTGAGTTAAGTGCTTTTTAAAATTTATGTAAAGGGACAACCTGGTGCACATCGGCGTCCCTGCAAAGCGACAGTTCGGGAAAGGGTCTTACCATGATAGAACTCACGCAGGTATTTAGTGAATTCACAGTAAGAAATTTAGAATTCAAGAAGCAATCCAAGCTCTCATTAATGGTGGAAATGTACAGGAAGTTTACAAGAAACGAGATACCAATATCTCAATATCTCCTAGCTCTAACTGAAAAACAGCCTCCTCCTTATTCCTCACTTCCTTTTATTTATACCGCTAATATTATTATTAATAACCATATTCTACGCCGGTCCCTCTTATCTTCTTATTAATATCACAAATCTGTCCGGGTCCCTATCATTACTCCCCTTGGACAACCACCTTGTCCTCAAGGTGGGTGATAGGAAACAACCATGATCTTCAGCTTCTTCTTCATCCTTGCGCCTCTCCCTTCCCAGTAATTGACTGATTGCTGAACTAGGAACTTCAGTACTAGATCTTTTAATATCACAGACATTTCAGCAGCAGAAGAGATATCTAGTGAAGTTTCATTTGCTTCAGTAACTTTCCAGCACTCAATAGTCAATACCAACAAATATTTCTTTACTTTTCTGAGGCTCCTCATAGTTTCTCTCATATGAAACTAATACTGTACTGGATGCAAACTTCTCTCTGTACCTTTCAACTTCTTCCTCTTTCAATTCTTTGTCTACCTCATATGAGAAGAAGGAAGGCATAAAAGGCTTTAGCAAGCAAGCAAGGAGAAACACTGTACCAACAGCAGTTCTCCTAACTATGGAACAGGAAAGCCTATCTTTCATGTAAAACTTCCAAAATTGGTTTTCTTGCAGGTGAGCATTTCCTTCACCAGAAAGAGACATGGCCATTTTCAAGCCTTGCTTCAATTTTACCTTTTCATTGGCTTCAATATATTGTTCTACATAATTTCCTGCTGCTTTCTCAGTGAATCAGTGATAGAATCTGTAATTCTGAGCTCTCCTGTCAAAAGGCCAACCCAGAAGTTGGCAGGTGAGTCAAGGGACTTGGACCTTTTCCATCCAGATGTACAAGAGCAAAAGAAACGGATGAATCACACTTCTCTTTGCATTCAACAGTCCCAATTATATTCTCTTACACCTCTTCAAGCAAAGCATCTTTTGGAGGTGAGTTGGATTTTGAATCCACGTTTTCCATACCTTCCAGATCTTCTAGTGGATATCCCATAGGTTGAATAATACCGTAGCTTGTATCCGGTTCCAGATCAAGATGCGGCTATCTTCAACTCAATGTTCATTGCCAACGGTGGAGTACCCTGCAATCTCTATCTTGATTCGACTAGGTTTATGGCTCTTGAAACTGATGACACCAAAAGAGGGTTCATGGTAGAACCAAATTCCTTTTTGACAGGTGATGGTGCCATAGCAGTTCCAGATCTGTCAGTCCAGGTTGGGACAGCCACAGTCTCTTGCCTCCGAAGCATTCGTGATGGGCACAATACTTCTGCAGCTCTCTGTGCATTTTGTGAGGCTTGCTCCTCTAGTTTTAGTTTCTCTTCATTGTGAGCATTCATAACGGCATCATGATTCAACACACTATGAATCACATTTGCATAAAAAAGACTCGGCAAGATACTACTTTCTTCCTCTACTTCACCTGTGATGTTATAAGCTTTCTTCTTCTCATTGCCATGGCTTCCTGAGCCGTTTTCTTTTCCCACAGCAGTGTTCTGATATGCTGTCTTTGTTTGCGTATATGTAGCCATTTCCTGATCCTGGTGTTGAGGCCCAGTAATATTTATATCCTCATTTAATTGACTGCAGATACTACATGTTTTTGTAGAGCCATTTTCCCCATCCTCATCTCTTTTCTTGAGTATGTTGATCCATTTACCAGTAATAGCCATATGAAACAGGTAGTTAAAACCTACAGCTCCCTCTTGAACACCTGTTGGCAACCCCCTAATATCTTTACCAACAATTATGGCATCGGAGAAGAGACCTGGAATGTGATCATAACCACGCATCCGATGTACGTCAGCATCAATATCAGTAACATATCCAACATGTTCCTTATAATTCCCAGTAAATCTTACCCCCAACCCATGGTGAGTACTCATCCTAGAAGTAACACCGTCTAATCTGAAACCATCAATACCACCAGCTCCTCTATTGGACAACTTGTATATAGTAAAATGATCCTGATCCCAATTGGATAACCAAATTAGGGTACTTTTCTGGTGTCGTTTGTACATACCTGCCAGCATCAAGAATCGGTGTGCTGCTTCCAAAGACGGTAGCAGATTCACCTCTAATAGCATCCAGAATGGTGTGTGTAAACCTTTGGTTCACAGTTGTCTTGAAGGACTTCTGTGGGAACAATGAAGTTTGAGCACTCTGAAAAACGGTTTGCGACCAAACCTGCGAACTCCGAGAATCAGGTAGCGACTGTGAACTGATATCTTCTATTTGGATACAGTCTGCGAACTGGGAGAAACGACTTGCGATGGCGATCAGTGAGGAGAAACAGTTTGCGACGAAGACTGCGAAATTAGAGAAGTTGTCGGCAACCGCTATGAATCCTGGTTTTCCGATTTCTGATGTTGTCTAGGGTTCTTCGATTGGCCTCTAGGTCGGCGGTGACTCCGCTGATCGATGATAGTCCGCAGATCATGAATCATTTCTCAAATGTCTCTATCCAATTTTTCTCTTCGACTTTCCATTTTTTATATCTCCACAATCGGTGCTCTGATACCGATGATAGAACTCACGCAGGTATTTAGTGAATTCACGGCAAGAAATTAGAATTCAAGAAACAATCCAAGCTTTCATTAATGGTGGAAATGTACAGGAAGTTTACAAGAAACGAGATATCAATATCTCAATCTGTCCCAGCCCAGTCTAACCGAAAAACAGCCTCCTCCTTATTCCTTACTTCCTTCTATTTATACTACTAATATTATTATTAATAACCATATTCTAAGCCATACTCTTATCATCTTATTAGTATCATAAATCTGTTCGAGTTCCTATCATACCACAAGGGTGTACAGGGAGCAAGCCTTTCTTTGTCGATTTTCTACAAGAGGCCGCTCCCAAGACTTGAACAAATGATCTCTTGGCCACATAACAACACCTTAAAATGTGCTTAAAATTTGTGTATTGAAAAAGTTATTTACTAATGCTAAATTAAATTCTCTATCCCATTTTATTTTGAATTGGCACAGTTTTGAGGAAGTGGAAATTTTGTAGTTGAAGTGTGTTTAGAAGAAAGAAAAACACCATCTACCTTATTAAAATGATAGCAAAGAGAATCTTGGAACTGGCGGAAATGAAAGAATAAAGATAAAGGTTTGCCAAAAAGAATGTTAAATGTCTTTAGTCAAATCGCCAAACCATGCTATCCTTAAAGTGGGTAAATAAATGGGACAAATGTAGTAGTTTTTGCAATGTCATTATTCCTGCAATCACCACCACCACCACCATCACCACCACCACCTGAATTACGTAGGGTTGGTGATTTGAAATTTAGTGTCAATTGATTGTCTAAAACTAGTTGAACATTAAACTCATGCAGTATTGTATTCCTATGTATGCATAAAATCACTGTAAGTTATTATCGTTTCTAGAACCAGTATTTTAATATATTTTGTTGTAGCGATACCCCAGATCAAAGCCATGGCTGAAGACGTTCAGCCTATGTTGAATGAAGTTCGCAATAGTGGCTTATTGAGTGAAGTTGAGAGTTTGACAAAAAGCTTGACGCAAGCTTCAGAAGACCTGAGGTAAAAATATGAATAATAGCTGTTGTTAAATCCTCTCCCACCATCCCCACCCCAAGAGCATCACATGTTTATGGAAGAGTGTTATACTGGAATTCTTACTTTTTTGTATGTTTGATCTTATTAACATGTCACAACTTTTCATCTTTTCTGTTTTAGGTCACCTTCTTGCCATATTAGGTAGCACTAAATTGGTTATACACTTATACTCCTTCAAGTTCCCCTATTTATGATAGTGAATCAGTTTAATGTTTCACTTTTTGCTCTGTTGCTCATAATCTTTCCTGATCTGAAATTTTTACTTTTGAAGTTTAAATGTTTTTGGGATTTTTTGTAGTCAAATACTGAAATGATATACCATTTAAATTGGAGTCATCCTGTTTTTAAGTTCTTAAAAATGTTGTATGGGGTTAAGGCTGCATACATCCGACCCCCTTACCTCACCGTAGGTGGGAGACTTTGGGGCACTAGGGCACTAGGAATTTCTGTAAAAATTCAGCAAATTCAGATACTGCAGCCATTTCTTCCAAATTCACCCATGCGGCCATGCATAACTTAGCTGCTTGTACTTGGAGTACTTGAGGAGAGTAAACATACTTCACAAGGCCACATTTCTGTCCTTGTTTTTACCGATTAGCTCGTAGAACTTGGAGCTGTTTTCTTTAAAGAAAGTATATTTCTGGAAATCTGGAATTGCAATATTTATTGCCTCTTTTACTGCAGAGACATGCATACCACGGTAATGACCCCGGAGAATACAGAACTAATGAGGAAATCTATATATACAATGGTTTTCACCTTGAAGAACATTGAGGTATTTGTTGCTTGTATTGTAGTTTTTCTTGTATTAATATGCAACCACTATTAATTAATTAAAATGGATCCATAACTTTACAGCGTATAAGCTCGGACGTTTTGGGATTCACTGGTGACGAAGCCACCAGACGGAATCTGAAATTGCTCATCAAGTCACTCAGCAGGCTATTGTGAAACCCAAGATGCTTACTGGCGACACTTGATATCCAAATTGATTGAATGCAAACACCTTCTATGAACTTGACTACAATATTATCCATCTGACATGGAGCCTCGTTTGGACATCTGTTGAAGGAGCAGTTTTGGGATTTTTTTAGGTAGAGTATGATCTGTTTTACCAGTAACTGTAGGAGATGAGCATCCTCTTTTACTTATTCCCATCTCTGTGTTTTTCTCTGGAGCTTTTGTGATTATTCACGCATTCTTGTATTCAGATTACTGGCTGGGAATATACAAAATGGTTCAGATATTTTTGTTTCAAATTTCTACTTTCTTTGGATTTATTGGGATGATGAATGTGTTGTGAACATTCTCATATATATATTTTTGTTAATAAAAGTTCCTACAATATGGGAAAAGCTAAAAAATTGATAGTGTTACCTAAAATCACTAATAATCTAAAATCTAATGAGATTATGAAAAAAAAACAAATAATGAAAAATTTATACTCCTAATACGGTAGTGAGGATACATTTTTCTAAATAAAATCTTCATCAAAAATTGAGATAAAGCTGTGGTCTATTTAGTTTAAATTAAAAAGTAATTTTAAATTATTTATTTTGATTATTATAAAATTTAGCGCGCGAAATAAAAATTACATGTTTATTAAATACATAATTAATAAGATTGATAAGTTGAAATTTGAGGCTACTGAAAAAAGTGAAATAAAAAGGGAAAATAATTTAAATATCTCAAAATGTGGAGTGTGTCATAAGACTCTAAACTTGTACACATGATACATATACCCCAAACGTTATATAAAAAATTATGTTAGCATCATGATCATATATTTTTTTAAAATATAATTTTATGGTGTTAACTGTTAAGTACATAATTGTAAATACACAAAACATTTATGAGGACGTAATTAAATTTAAATTATACCGGATTTAATATTATTTATTTCACAAATGAAATTATAAAATGTTAATTGCATTCTAATAAGGCTTAAAGTAAAAATGAATGACCGGTCAAGGTTTTTTTAATCTCTCTAGGGCTTTTTAGCCGCTAGAGCCCTCTTCTCCGGCGGCGATCGATTCCGATCGTGGGTTCTGACCTTTCAATCTGTGTCTTTTTTTGGCCTTACGACGTCCAGATTAGGCGTTTTTTTTTGCTGACGGGCGTTTTATGCAACGACGACTTCCTTTGGTTTGATTCCAGGAAGTAGGCTTTTGCTTGGATCTCGACTTTGGATGATGGATGAGTTTGGTTGTGCAAGAACGGAAGATGGATGCTTGGTCTTTGGTGGGCAAAGGTCATGGATGAAGCGTGGAGCTTGAGGTTGGAACAGATCTGGATTCGAGGTCATCTGTGTTAGGTGGCGACAAAGGAGGCTTGGTAGAGAACCTGATGAATAAGAGACAACGTGAGGAAGAAGTTTCGGTACTGCTAGATCGTCCCCCTCCTGAACCGCCGCCATGAAGTGCAGGAGAGTCTAGGATTTAGAAGCATCTTTTTTAATTTTACCGTTTGCTTACGTTATAATTTTCATGATCAGACTGTTTATTTTTCTGTTACTTACTTTTATTATTGTAAGACTCTTGCATTAGGATTGAGTGAGGTTTGGTCTACTTCAATCGTTTGTGGGCCTGTGGCTCAGGTTTGCCCATTAATGGATTAGCGAGTTATATTGTTTGTTTGAAGGTAACTCCAAGTCTGGTTCGAGGAGTGACGGTTGTCTGTGGTTCCTTACTTATTTTACTCCTTTTCCGAATGCTAATTCTTTGATTTCAATATAAGCCCTCCTCGTCCAAAAAAAACAAGGATTAATTTTTTTAAATTATATAATTATTCCAATAAATATGTATTTGTAAAAACCATACAACACAAAAACAACCTTTTATATAAATTTGAGAATACATATACGAAGTATTACATACTCCGTATATTTTTTGGATGACATACTCCGTATAATTATTACTTCGTATATGATACTCCATATAACGGGGCGGAAAAAAGCAGTGGGTCCAGATGGCATACCGATCGAAGCTTGGAGAAGTTTGGGAGAGAGAGGCATGAGGTGGTTAACAAATTTCTTCAACAAGATTTGGAGAAACAACAAGATGCCAACGAGCTGGAGAAAGAGTACTTTTATTCCCTTATTTAAGAATAAAGGTGATGCACAATAATGTGCCAACTATCGAGGGATTAAGCTTTACCATGAAACTTTGGGAGTGAGTGATTGAGCAAAGACTTTGAAGAACGGTGAAGATTTCAGAGAATCAATTTGGTTTTATGCCTGGTCGCTCAACAACTGAGGCTATTCACCTTATTCGGTAACTTATGGAGAAGTATAGAGATGCTCACAAGGATTTTCATTCAGTGTTCATTGACTTAGAAAATGCATATGATAGGGTACCTCGAGAAGTTCTTTGGTGAGCCTTAACTAGAAAAGGCATTTCACGCAAGTATATCAGCATCATCATGGATATGTATGAGGATTGTACTACAAGTGTCCGTACTAGTGTAGGGAGGACTGCGGAGTTCTCTATTACAATCGGAGTGCACCAAGGATCGGCTCTGAGCCCTTTCTTATTTGCCATAGTCATGGATGAACTTACAAAGTCAATTCAAGACGATATATCGTGGTGCATGATGTTTGCCGACGATATTGTATTGATTGATGAGACGCAATCAGGGGTAAAAGCAAAGTTGGAAGTATGACGACAAACATTGGAGAACAGGGGTTTTAGACTAAGTCGGAACAAGACAGAGTACATGGAGTGCAAGTTTGGTGGAGGTAGAAGCAGTGATAATAGCGGAATTACTTTAGATGGTAAGGAGATACCGGTCAACGATATGTCCCGTTACTTGGGCTCCATACTTCAGAAGGACGGTGAGTTAGATGGAGATGTATCTCATAGAATCAGAACAGGGTGGATGAAGTGGAAGAGTGCGTCAGGATTTCTATGCGATTGAGATATGCCGACTAGACAGAAGGGTAAATTTTATAGGACAACAATTAGGCCTGCATTAGTGTATGGCACGAAGTGTTAGACGGTGAAACAATGTCACATTCAAAAGATGAGTGTGGCAGAGATGCGCATGCTAAGTTGGATGCGTGGGCATACTAGAAAGGACCGCGTGAGGAATGAGACAATCAGACAAAGGGTGGGAGTAGCACCTATTGAAGATAAGATGCGGGAGTCGTGCCTACGGTAGTTTGGTCATGTGCATAGAAGACCGAGTGATGCACCTGTAAGACGAGTTGAGATGTGTGGAGAAGAGGCAAGGAAAAGAGGGAGAGGAAAGCTCAAACAGATGTGGGTTAGGGGAGTCAGAAGTGATATGCTTCTTCTTGGATTGGATAAGGGTATGACTTTGGAGAGAGCAAAATGGAGGGCAGGTATTCGTGTGGAGGAGTGATCTTGTATCATCTTTTCCCCTCTTTTTTTCCTTTTTTTATTTTTATTTTTTCTTTTTTTCTTTTTTTTAATCCTTATATATAAATATTATTTTATCTTTTATATGTATATTCATCTCTTTTATATTATCTTTTTATAATATCTTATATTTTTTATATTTATTTTCTTTCTTTTCCTTTTAGTGATATCATGTATGAATTCATGTTAGCCGATCCCAATATGGCTTGTGACTAAGGAGGTGTTTACTTCGCAGATAAAATCATCATTAAGTTAGTAAGACATGTGATGTAAACACGCACGCCGCTTAAAACCCCGCTTACTAACCGAAAAAGGTGCTTAAAGTGCCGCTTACTAAGCATACCACCCCCCATGTATTAATTAAGCGGCACTTTAAGCTTTTTCATTTTCCGAATTTACCCCTTACCCTTACCCTATTGTTACCGCCTACCCCACCCCACCTTCTGTCCTATCCTACCCTACATCTACCCTACCTTACCCCAACCCTACCCTTACCCTACCTACCCGAACCCCACCCCAACCCCTAAATCCCTTACCACCTACCCCAACCCTACCACATCGGCCCACCCGACCCCACCTATAGGGGGCCTACCCCAACCCCCGTATGTGTTGGCCCCACCCTATCCTATCCTAACCCCTACCCCACCTACCTTACCCCAACCCCACCCACCCCACCCCAACCTAGGCCCCTTACCACCTTATCCCCACCCCTACCACATCGGCCCCACCCGTATCCTACCCTACTCTACCTTACCCCTACCCTACCTACCCCACCCCACCCCCTACCCCCCACCACATCAGCCCCATCCTATCCCAACCCCTACACTACCCTGTCTTACCACGACCCCACCCTACCTACCTGACCCCATCCCTACCCCTAGGCCCTTACCATACCCCAATCCTACCACATCGGCCCTCACCTCAACCCCACCTTTACCCTGACTACCCTACCCCCTACCACATTAGGCCCACCCCGACCCCACGCTACCCCTTGCCCTTACCCTTACCACCCTATCCAACCCTCTACCCCTTACCACATCGGTGCCACCTCTGCCCCCCTATGTGGGATAGGATGGCGGTAGGGTGGGTCGAGTTCTGGGTGGAGCCGAGGTAGGGCATGTTGTAGGTGGGGTGGGGGTGGGATCAGGGTGGGGCTGAGGTAGGGGCAAGTGGTGTAGGGAGTTGAGGTTGGGACGCTGTTAGGGGTAAGGGTGGGGATTGGGTGGGATCGGGGTTGGGGTATAGGGTAGGGTAGGGGTTGTGGTCAAGGTAAGGTAAGGTAGGGGTAGGGGTTAAGGGGTGGGTGGGGGTAAGCAGGGGCGGATTTAAGTTGGAAAGAGTGGGGGCAGGTGCCCCCAATAAAGAACCACTTACCTTCTACTACATATAATTCACTATGACAAATATGTTTAAATAAGTAAATCAAACGTTTGCCCCCAACAAAATAATTGGCTTGCCCCCAATAACCTCATCCCAAAAATAAAGCACACTGGAAATTGCATGCAAACATGAATTGCATTGGGAGCACCAATATTTAACTAATTCAAGCGAAGAGTCTTTGCTTATTTTTTCTACTCATCTCCAAAGGTCAAAGTAAATAAAGGATTGAGCCATATCATAGCTTTATTTAAACGTGTATGCATTTTAAATGCATTTTTATATAATAATAATACCAATAATCTATGTATCCTAATTTATCTAATCAAATAATATAGTTATTTAGCAGCTGCTATAAATCAGAATCTTTGGTACTTAACTAGCTTGAAAAATTTGTGATCAGGATGAAAGTATTGTTGGGTAGTCGATCCAAATTTATTATATGTAAACTCAATTTTACAAAAAGTCAACAAAATGTAGATAAAATGTTATTTCGATACTTAAGATAGTCTACAAATTAGGATAAAAATGTTATTTAAGTAGTAAGCAGATCATAAAAACATAAGTAGCATGTTATTTTAGACATTTAACGGAAAATAAAAAACGGACTATTGAAAAGCATAATATTTAAAACAAAAACAATATATTACGTATTAGTTTCAATTATGCTCTTACAATTTAAGCTACAATGAATCACTTTCAAAACTACTCCGTATCTTAATTAGAACAATTTTGATTTTCTTTATTAAAGGGAGTTCCCCTAATGTATTTCACATTTTATAATTTCAAAATTGGACAAGTATGTTAGTTTTTCTTCCCGAAATAGTTGCGGTACTATCATTAACATTACACTATTTACATCCGTCAATGACAATATATTTTTCAATCATGGCAATAATATAATAACTTATATTTCAGAAAGAAAAATATAATAGTCATATTTTGAAATTTCAAAACATATTTACTCCTATTTGGAACAATTTCCCTCTATATTTTTTTGTTTGATGTAATTTAGTATTGAATTTGCCCCCAATAGATTTAATTTCTAGATCCGCCGCTGGGGGTAAGCAGGTGTGGTCAGGGTTTGGGAAAGGTAGGGTAGGTTGGGGTCAGGGTAGGGGTAGGGTGTGGTAGGGTAGGGTAGGGCAGGAGTATGGTAGGTGGTCGGGGAGGGGCCGATGTGGTAGGGGGTATCTTGGGCCCTAGGTATGGCCGGTGGGTTAGGGGGTATGAGTACACTATTATATATCTCTGTTCATGAATGTTTGTGTGTCTATATATGTATAGAGTTATTATGGACATTTTAATGTTTAACCGTGTTTTAAACCTTTTGAAGTAAACACGATGTTACAACATTGCTTATTTTATGCGCCGCTTATTAACGTGGATCTTAATAAGCACCGTTTGACAACCCGTGAAGTAAACATGTTCTCACGCTTGGTTGATGTTGGTGGTTGTATATGATACGAGTAAAGGGTCAGTTTAGTCCTCGAAGTTGCAAAAAAGGCGTCAAATAAGTCCTTATATAGAAGATTCTGTCCGGACATGCCATTTGAGGTGGCTCCCGGTGGAATTTTGTGATAATTTTTTTTGAGCATCGTATTCATTAAGTCTAGTTTAGTCATACCAAATTTCAGCTATAAATTCAATTGGGAAGACATTCAAATGAATTCTTGAAGATAACAACGCTTTTAACGGCACAGTTATCTTCAAGAATTCATTTGAATGTCTTCCCGATTGAATTTTTATCTGAAATTTGGTATGAGTAAACTAGACTTAATGAATGAGATGCTAAAAAAATTTCATCAAAAAATTCCACCGGGAGCCACCTCAAATGGCACGTCCGGACAGAATTTTCTGTATAAGGACTTATTTGACCCCTTTTTTGCAACTTCGAGGACCAAACTGACCCTTATCCCTATATGATACTGGTCGGTTGTTGTTGGTGGTTGTATATGATAGTGCGAATGAGAGTTTGGGGGACCCATAAAAATTTGAGTTATTTAAATCATTTTCTCCAAAATAAAAAGGCTGCAAAAAAAAAACGATAGACCTGAGCCGGTGAGCAACCGTGCCGTCACCGCTTCTGCATATAGGCTGCTTTCACGTTCCTTCAATGGCGCCCCATCTCCTTCGCCGTTCACACTAATTCAGCAACACGAACTCACGAAGTTTATTCCTATCTTTCTTCCTTGGGTTCAGATATATGCATATACATCATACCCATGAATATCCTTTCTATGCTAAGCGGAAATCTCGCTACCCCTATTAGATACTGTCCATATCCTCATCCCATCCTATGGAAATCTTCTCGAAAGAATTGCGACTGTTACCCTAAATACGGTTCGGTAATTAGTGGTTCAAGTCATTCTGGGCATATGACTATCCAAGCTTCAGGCTTGAAAGACAATGGAGAGTTAGAAGATGACGGGAAAGCTGCAAAAGGGTCTGGATCTACGGCCAGAGGAAGGAGGCTGTTGAGGGTGCGGGAGGAGAAGAGGAAACGAGAATATGACCGTCTTCACAACTATCCTTCTTGGGCCAAGTATGTCTTTACTTTCTCCTTTTTTGTTTTGTTTTGTTTATTACAGTAGTTTCTTTGATTGTTTTCTGGAACAAAAGTAGAACTGGCGACTTGAATTGAGTTTGTACCTTGTAAAGAGCAGGGTGTTGGAAGAAGCCTGCCAGCATGACATAGAGCTTAGATCCGTTCTGGGGGATAGTATTGGAAACCCCGAGCTTATGAGAAAAAGGGTAACTTATCAAATTTAGAAGATTCATTCTCTTTGAAATTTTCTATTTACTGTCTGCAGTATTATTCCTATAGTCTTAGTATAATGCAATTCCGAGAGCTGAATGCCCTTTCAGGATGTTCTAGGGTAGAGAAGAAAGTAAGGGGAAAAATGAAATATATGGTTGAAACTTGAAACACAAGAATTGATCTTTTTTACATAAGTTTCCTAATTTTTATATAATAGAAATGGACCTGAAGTCCTGAACAAAATCTATTTCTATTACTCTCTGTATATAAAAACTAAGAAAGGTATAACATATGTAAGAAACAAGATAAATAGATTAAACATATCTCCTTTTCCTGTTCAGCTCATTTTCAAAGGTAAAATCAAACACAAGAAACAACTTTACCTGGATTTTATTCTTTTCTGTATGTAGCGTTGCGGGAGCAAATATACTCTTACTGTTCAGGATTACTGAACATTGACTGTGCTGACAAATTTTTCTTTTGTCGAAACATATAGCCCACATCCCCCCAAATTTGAGAAAAATAGGAAGTAGTTACATGTTAATCGGATATTTTTTATTGGCTAAGTTTCAGGGATTAATCTGGCCAACCGAATTTTAGATTTCGGGTAGTAATTGGTTCACAGCTTAGTACCATGTCAAGTTGTAGGATTAAAAAGTGAATAATTATTACAAGAGTAGGTTAATTGCAATGAAATTGGTAGATGTGAAATAAGAGGGCATGCGAAAGAAGAATGAGAAATTGAGGGAAAAGTTTGTCTGTACTCAGGGATTATATATATAATTTAGTGCCACTCACAGGCATGAGAAATTGAAACTACTTTGAGCTAAGTAATCCAATAAACCAGTTAGACAGGGTTCTTCTTCTTAAGTTCTTATAGTATTTTTGTAATATTATTTATTATGTTTGTTTCACACATCAGTACTTTGAACTGTTTTCTTGATAGGTTGAAGAAAGGGTTCGAACCAAGGGACGAGATTTTCAAAAGTCTAAAACTGGATCTGTCCTTGCATTTAAAGTCAGCTTTAGAGAGTAATCAGTAAACCAGCCCATCTTATACTTGTAGCCTTCTCTGCTTCTTTTCCTTCAGTATGACACTATTACTCCTTTTTCACTCTTATACTTGGTTTTGAATGTTTTACAGTTTCAATCCACTTGATTCCTACATATGGTTTCAGCTATACGGAGCACCATCTGATCGGGAAGTTGATCTGTTTGGCAGTGTAATTGATTGTTTCCTTCCTTCACTCTTTACAATATTATCACTAATATCTCCCGTCATGCTATATCATGTTCATTGCACTGAGATATGAGAGTATCTGGTTATGCAAAAACTCCTAATTTGATTTTTTTTTGCAGGTTGTTCAGGCCTGGTATGTCATGGGTCGTTTAGGTGCCTTCAACTCATCTAATTTGCAGGTCAGTTTTTCAGTTCACGTGTTTAATTTCTGGTATTGTTTTGCTTTCTGTAATAGTTATCATGATTATTGCACTACATGTGCAATTAGGAGAATACTTGAAACTGTAATTATTAGGAGAATAGTGGTGGATCCAGTTAGGATCCTTGGGGGTGCATGTGTCAGAAATACATGATATATTAGGAGAATACTTGAAACTGTAATTATTACCCAGTACTACATATAAGTGTCGAAATTATGAGGGATGTGCTCCAATTATCTTGAAAGAAACTTCAGAATACTTTTCTGACTTGCAGAAAGTGTGCTGATTAAGGTTGTGTTTATTGTTGCATTTCCTAATTACCATTATATTCCTTTTCACAATTTCAAATGTGTGTACTGTATTTTGTGTCTTAAAAGTACCCCTCAAGAATGATGAACATGTTTCAAGTATGTTGAGCAACTGAATGAATGCAGGTGGCCAATTCATTCATGGTCAACACCAATCCTCTCTACGATGCAGAAGCTGGGTTCAAGGTGATGCCATCGTCTTTTCATGACATTAGTGATGTCGAGTTCCAGGACAATTGGGGTAGAATTTGGTACGACAGACTTCTCCTGATTGCTAATCAGTAATAGAGTATTAGTATGGTTATTACTATTACCTTTAAATAATATCCGCTATCACGCAAAAACTAAAAATAATACATACTTAGAAATTATTTTAAATAATATGTAGTACCAACTATGTCAATATACATCGAAAATGATGCAGAATCACTTTCTGACGACAAATGCGGGCATGAAACCAATAAAAACGATACCAAGCCATCGTATGAAGCTTATTTGAAAAGGTCACTTATTTGATGATTTGAAATAAGTTTTTGATGTGTTAGCTAGTTAAGTGACGGGATTTATAGTCAGAATCTGACTTCGTATCGTTTTTCGTTATATATTCAAATTCAAACATGTGGTATTATTTTAAGTGATTTCTAGAATATGTATTATTATTGATCGACAGGTGAGAGTTGATACTATTTAAAATTATTTTCTCTTTTTATTATTACTATTATCTTTATTGTCATTATTATTGTGGGTGTAAATTCTGGAGATAAGGCTGCTTATATGGAGCAGATGCATAACAGGGTAGATCTTGGAACAGCGGATTTCTTTTCAATCGACGTGCTTCTCAACTGCTTGACAGGGTTGAGCTCAGAGTAAACTCCAACTTTGCGAATTTTGTTTGTCATGCACTTTTTTTACGGAAGCAAAGACGTAAGTCTTATACAAATGTATATGCAGATACTTGGGCATTCAACAGGTAGTGTTTGGTGGTCGCTGCATGGGCGATTGGGAAGAAGGGATGACAGACCCTCAAGATGGATACAAGTACTTCAAAATCTGATAATGGGAGAAAATGGTGGAGAAGAGGGAAGAGCTTCATATTGATCAATCCACCCATATGTCCCTTTTCCCCCTAACTTATACTCCGTATATCATAAATTGTAAAAATTGCTTTGGTAAGAGCTATAATATGATAACGGCGTAGGTTTACCCTAAGTTCATAATAGTTTAATCGCAATCAACTTCGCAAATCGCAATAGTGTACCTGGTTTATTAAATCGGGTATTTGTGCTTATTCGATCGTATTGTACCTGGTAAACCACCTTTGATGTTTTGTGCTGGAATTTCAAACAAGTGGACAATTGTTGAACTTTATGAGTGAAGTCATTTAAAGTAAAATGTGCCTGGTAGAAGGAAGAGTCCATAGAAGAACTGAAGAAGGTACTTAGCTGCATAAGAATCAGACAACTGCAATGCCATAGCCATATATACCTTTAAACACAGTTGACTGCACCAAGATAGTGTTTGCAACAACTTAGAAAAGTGTTTTTTAGCTTTTGGCTTAAAAAGCAGAAATGAGTGTTTGTAATGGTTATTTTTTGTTTAAGTTAAACACTTAAAAGCTAAAAACTAGATATAGGTGGAGGCAGGCCTGGACTCGGGCCAGGTGGCCTGACCCGGAACCGGCCTGAACCGGCACTGTTCCGGCCCGGCCCGGTGGCCCGGTCAGTGACCGGTCCGGGTAGGCCCGACCTGCGTGGGTTCCGGTCCGGGCTCGGGTCCCCCAAATCCTGAACCGGCCCGGCCGGTTTGGGCCCGGCCGGTTGGGCTGGGTATTTTGGGGTGGTTTGGGGTGGTTTGAGGGTGAGGGGTGGGGGTTAACTAGGAAAAGGAAAAAAAATTAAAAAGGCTTGAGGCCCGGCCCAACTCGGAACCGGGGATTACCCGGGCCGGTTCTGGGCCCCCATTCCGGAACCGTCGGCCCCGAGTCCAGGCCTAGGTGGTGGAGTGTTTTTAACTACTTTTCACTTTTAATATTATACTACCTCTGTCCTCCTAAGTTTGGGACAAAGGGGTGTGGTGTGGTTTTTAAGAAAAAGTAGAATTGTGTGGTTGATATTGAATTGGTAAAGCGTGAATAAAGTAAGAATGAATTATAACCACTCAAACATTTCCTAATATGGTATGAGACAAACTTAATGGGTCGGACGAAAAAGGTAAATCGGGACAAAGTTAAGGGGACGGAGGGAGTATAAACACTTTTTTTACCATACACAACAAACTTTTGTTTTTTCAAAAACATTTTTTCTTAAATACTATCAACTTTTATTATAAAACACTTTCTCTAAAATCACTTACAAAATCATTTTTAAGAGTAGAAGCAACTTTCAGCGGTCATCTCCCTATGAGCTAGAGTTTCGTTCTTCCGCTTTCGTCATTGACAAAGAGCGATCGTCGGTCAATTTTAGTAGTGCAAGCAAGCTCAGGGTTAGCGATGTAGCGCTTTGGTGGTCAGGGTTCGATTTCACCTGTTGTTTCTGGTCAAAGGTCGAGTATACAAACAAAAGGCGGATAAGCTCTGGTGGTCGGTGGAGATTGGGTTCGATTCAACATCAAGAGGGATATCAATTGAAGCTATCGTCAATCAATACAAAAGCATGGCTATTGAGGCGGATGAGCGGCGGGCGTGTCCCCCTCCCGAGCCGTCGTCATGGAATGCAAGCGAGTCTAGGGTTTGGAAGAAGATGGGTGAACTCTGTTTTAATTCCGTTTTATTCTGTTTGATTTCGAATTGCGTGTTGTTTTGGACATGCTCTTATTTCGTAATAGAGAAATTCTAGATTTTAAGTCAGGTGATGAGAAGTCTGATTTGTCTGTTATTTTCTCAATTAAGCCCATTACAGGATACACTAATATTATTGCTTCTACAGAGGTGATAGATTCTATGTCTGGCCCAAGGGCGGACGACAAACTGAAGGTTTTTTATCGTTTTGTTTCATGCTTTCTTTGATTGTATTATCAGCCATGTGACGAACGTTTTGTTGATTTTATATATTTCTTGGTTTGATGATAAAAAAAGAGTAGAAGCGACTTAAAAAAAGAGTAGAAGGAACTGCAAACACTCTAAGGCTCTGTTTGCAAGTGATTGTGCTTAAATAAAAGCACTTTTTGGGAAAAAGTGATTAGTAGTAAAAGTTGGTAGTGTTTGGTAAAACAAGTGCTTTTTGTGTAATAGAAAAAGTAAAAAGTAGATTCTACACGAAAACCGAAAAAATAAAAGTTGGTATTGTTTGGTAAAATAAGTGTTTTCTTCTTAAAAAAAATCAAAAGCACTTAAATTAATTGTTTGCAAACAAAGCCTAAGGCTCCGTTTGCAACTGCTTCTGAAAAACACTTTTGTTAACAAAAGTAAAAATAGGTGTTTGCAAAACATTACTTCTCCGTTTGTTCATCCGAAAAGCTAGAAGCAGTTTTTTTCCAATGCTTGGTAATTTGGTAATTCTTGATAACTAGGGGCATTCATTTTTTTGGATAAATTGTAAGTATATTAAAGGAACCACCCAAGAAAACAGAGGTTCAGAATGTACAAGCAAAAAGGGAAACAAAACTGCAGGTTATCCAACATGGATAACCCAAACCTAGCAAAAGAACTCCAAAACAAGCAACACTCCACACCAAAACGAAGCAGTGGTGGAGCACAAACAAGCCCAAAAAACAGCCACAAGAAACGTCCAACCCAAACAAAGAGAGGGTAAGGCAAAACACGTCACAACTTTACAAGTTCGTGTGGATAAAGACTATACAAAATCTTGTAAACAATGTATTGAATTCTCGCAAAAACGTCTTCTTCTTTCGGAACAAGGCCATCAAAGCATGTAGCATTCCGGGTCCTCCAGATCCAGTAGATGGAGTAGCAAAAAGCAATCCTAGCCGCCTTAGCTTTGATCCCCGAGCCTTGTCTCTTCCTCTTGATCCATTTCAACGAGCTCAGCATGGTCCCCATCTCCCTAGGAATGTCCAGCCACGTCCTGACTCTGAGCCAAACTTTACCTGAAAAAGCACAAGTAAAAAATAGGTGTGGTACCGTTTCCGGACCACCCTTACAAAGGGGGCAATAACTAGGGGCATTCATATTGTTAATATGTGTTGTTGTATCCCATTCTCTCTTTCCTTGATACTCGTATATGGGGTATCAGAAACATTAATATAAGAGGGCCATTTTTGTACATTAATAAAAAAACTACATCAATGATCACTTTTTTATCAAACACTTCAATTTCAACACCTGTTTGTAAAATTATTTTTTTCCAAACACTATCGATCAACTTTTACAATTAATCACTTTTCCAAATTTCACTAAAAAAACACCTTTTTTAAAGTAGAAATAGTTGTAAACACTCAATGTTACATGTTCACTACTTATTTGCAATTGGAATTGCACTCCCCCAATGTCTATTGATTTTAATAGCGATGAGAAATGAATTAATGGATGAGAAAAAGATTATGCAAGGGAGTTCGTTTGCCCCAACAATACAAAGACCCAAAGTCCGTTTACGGATGCAAGGGAGCTCGTTTGCCCCATGACGTCTGGGTCGGGAATATCCAGACACTTACGTTTCTCCGTTGCTGCTATCAATGGAGAGAATCACCAAGCAACTGACGGCAGGGGCGGATCTAGCATTTGAACTCAGGTGGGGCAAAAATTTAATTAAAGAAGGTATATTACAAAAAAATGTCAAAATGGAAAAATATAGTTAAATAATATTACAGAAATGTCAATGAAAAAATAAATATTACAGAACCGATAATTTAATGATCTTAAAAGTCATAGATACCGAATCAGAATTGGCTCGCTTACTGAAATATTCAATATCAATTTTCATGTCAATTTCTCCAAAACCAATTTTCTTTTGACTCTATAGTCTATTTCTCTATGTAAAAAAAATAAGCTAATTAAATGTCAGTCACCAAGCACAATGAATTGAACTTATTAACTATTTATGTAATATTCAAAAGTCCAATGAATTCAACTAATTAATTTTTCAGTCCAATATCCAAAAGCCCCATGAATTGATTTAATTAACTTTTCAGATTAATATTCAAAATTCCAATTATTTGAAGTAATTAATTTTTCATACTAACATTCAAAAGTCCAATGTAAAAAACTGATGGAGTTCAATTTAAAGGAATAATTCTTTCTCTTTTTCGGTGTGAGACAAAGAGATTTTGGATATAAAAAATGAAAAATTTAAAACATGAAACATGTTACAAAATTTGGACAATTTTAAAAAATTAAAAGGTTGTACTGAGAGTTATAAAAAACCTGTGTCCAAGGGGATTCAAACTCATACCCTCATGCTACACAAGTTATCTCAGTCTACTTCCATTGGACTACCAAGAATTATGTTTAGTAGTCGGTGTTAATAGTTATTATACTATAACTATTAAAATACAATATACTAATATATACATATATATATTAGTAATTTTTTTTATTTGAGCATGGGCCTAGGCCCACCCTGGCCTTAAGCTGGATCCGCCCCTGACTGGCAGGAAATCAAGAACTGGTGGCGGGAAATCAAGAATTGGTGGGGATGTGCATTTTATGTGCTAGATATGAAGTATTTTATGGTTGGAAATTGTCCAGTCATGCCTTGACACGTAGCCCCGTGCACTTACTATCTTGCACTACACCTGTCCTATAATGTAAGATACACGTGAGTTTGGTGCAAGTTTTAAGAAAATAAAGGATAAAATAGTTGTTTTACAATTCTGATCTCCCAAAAGTAATAAACAAGTAAATGGATCCACAAAAACCAAATGATGAAATGATAAATAGAGGGATAAAGTGAGAAAATAAAAAGTTAATGGAGTCCAAATTTAGAGAATGGTCATATTTTTTGGACAACCTAAAAAGAAAAGTGTATCATACAAAATGGTATGAAGGGAGTAGTATAAATGGTTGCATTTATTTCTTTGTAAATGATCGGGAAATTTACATTCAATAGCTTAGCTTCTCAATCTAGTTCCTCTATAATCTCTCTGTGTAGAACAGAGGGCCGGGATTCAGGCTCGGTAAGAGTGTGCTATATTTGTTCTAAGTCTAATAATAGAACCTGACCCACTTTACCTCATTTCACTTCTTGCTATTGCCTTTTCCCTCATAATTGCTCACATCACTCGCTAAATACTAGATAAAACCATAAAAGATCATACGAAATCCCAAGAGACTGTGTTGAGCCTTTGGACCGCGAGGACTTAGTTACACTTTATATTCTTAAATTAAACTTATATGAAAAAAATTAAAAGAGGAACATTAAAAGCGTTTATATAATAAATATTTGATGCACGTGCATTTCACTATTGTCTTAGTTTGATCGGATATGATCTAGTATGATTTGCTTAAGTTGGAGTTAGAGTTTAAAATTAATCAAGTCCAAGTGAAGAGTTTTTAACGTGGAAAGATGTAAAGACAAACCCATAAACTAAATATGTCATACTCCCATCATTGCTTATAAGTCATACTCCATATAACTTTGTCAAAGTTGAGTGACAAATAGAATAGAATTATAAAGTAAACACTATATGCTTGAAGTTTGCATAAAGGAGAGCATATTAACAAGAGTAACAAATTGTGGAGTCCATATAACTTTGTCAAAGTTGAGTGACAAATAGAATAAAATTATAAAGTAAACACTATATGCTTGAAGTTTGCATAAAGGAGGGCATATTAACAAGAGTACCAAACACATTGTGGTCAATGATATAACTGAGGCACTCTCAAGAAAGACTTGAGGGGGTTATAGGCTCGAAACTCAACATAGTAAAAATTGTTGGCATTTAATATTGAATTAAGAGACTAGAAAATCCAACAAAAAAGAAATTTATTTAAAAAGAAAAGTGGTAAAATTAAGGAGACCAAAGTTGACAAAATTATAAAACACCTAGGAGTATAAATAATAGGACTACGACAACAGCTAGTAAAAGCAAGTTTCAATCCAACAGTTTGAAAAACGGCAAGAGTAATCCCACAAAGTAACAAGCAACGTGTTTAAAAAATAATAATTCTCCGTATTACTTTCATAATTAGTTTATCATCAAATGGTTGCATTAGTAAACTCAGTCACCATCAACTTCTTCATCTCCCATGGACTTTATTTTCGAGACTCTACACTTGCTCTGTAGTATCGAGCAGTGTGGAAAGCGGAAACCGCGCTTTATGTTGGGAAAGGGAAACGTCCCTTTCATTTTCAAAGAACCGTACTTTCCCACCTTTCTTTCCTACATTCTCTTTTCCTTTTCTACAAAGTTTTTATGTCTTGCTCGTACACTTATCTTGCCTTTGATCTTATTACTACTGTTAAGCCTCTGTCCTTTTTGCTTCGTTGCAAAGAAACCCCAATTCTTTAACAAAACTGTTATCCATAAAAACACCACCTTTCATGCACATGATCTTGATCAAGTTTCGTTTTTTTCTCTTTTCATGCTGTCTACTCAATCTCAGTTAGACTTGAATCACTTGCTCGAATGTGGGGTTTATCTTGTTTGGGTATCTGCGAGACATTGAGACTTAGTAAGAGAGCTTGAAGCAACACATTACGACTTATACTTTCTGCGATTTTTCTGTTCTTTTAGCTGACAAAATGGAAGAGCCTTCCGCTGTAAGGCGGGATGTTTGGCGGCCACATTCGTCTCAGAATGACCTCTTTGATATAGTCTTCTCATGGTCTCTTGAAGATATTTTCGATGACACTCTCTACCAAAACCAGGTATGATCTCTTTATTATAGTGTTTTATCATGATTTCATTGTATTTTCAAAAGCCTTTTCATTTTTCTATGAATTTGTTTTCTCTTAGCTTCCGCTCTCTGTCTGTTAGGTTGAGAAGATTCCATGTACATTCCATTCATGGGATCATTACCTTTGCTGTTATACATTTCCTTTATTGGAAGAAACGCGAGCAACAGTTGCTTCTTCATTGGAAGTAATGGATAAAGCGCCATTTGCTCAAGTGATATCTTTTGATCTGTCAAAGGGACATGGGAAGAGTATTTACTATAAAATAAAGGTGGAGTCTTGGAAAAGAAGGATTAATGATGAAGGAGAGCATTACAAGACATTGCCGGGAGACTTGGTAGTGATCTCGGACAGTAAACCAGAGATGGTCTCGGATTTGAATCGTGTGGGTTGGAATTGGACATTTGCTTCAGTTGTAAATGTGACAGATGGTGAGGACGATGAAGGCAATTCCTCTACTTATTTTAAAGTGAAAATGCCTGTCGACTTTGGAGACATTATAGGAGACCATGCAACCATCCATATCGTTTTCGTGGCAAACTTCACAACAAGTAAACGGATTTGGAGTGCTTTGGGGATGACCAGGAATTTGAACATTATTAGCACGGTTTTGCATGCAAGTGCTGAGGTTGGTGACATGTTACTCCAATACTTTCTGTTCTCTATCATTCCAAATATACAATAACTTAGTGGTGTTTTTCTCTTAAAAGTATATTTTTATTATGATTCTGATTGATCTTTGTTTGTCACATTGATGAGTAGGGCCATAAAGAATGTCATATTTGCTCTCCTCATGCTGATGTAACATCATCATCATCATCAGCTAAGAACATAGAGGACAGATTGCTGGCCAAGCTGAATGAGTCCCAAGCCAATGCAGTGCTTACATGTCTTGAAAGGATGAAATGTCACCATATTTCTCATGTTGATCTTATTTGGGGCCCACCTGGTACCGGGAAGACAAGTACTGTTAGTATACTTCTGTTCATGCTTTTGAAAAAACAGTGCAGAACACTTATTTGCGCTCCTACAAATGTAGCAATAACACAAGTTGCCTCTCGAGTGTTAAGGCTGGCACAAGAGTGTTATAAAGATGAATCATCTGAGAAGAACCTGATATACCCGTTAGGTGATGTGGTCCTATTTGGAAACAAGGATAGACTGAAGTTGGGTGAATATATTGAGGAGATCTACCTAGACTACCGTGTCGAAAGGCTTCATGAATGTTTTGGATCACTGACGGGTTGGAGACACTGTATTTGCACTGCAATTTCTTTTCTTGAAGATTCTGTTTCTGATCACGAAGTCTTTGAAGAAAATAAACTAATAAAAAAGAAAGAGTTAATTGAGAATGGTCAAACCTTGGATGAAAGCGTGGAGCCTATATCCTTTGCTGAGTTTCTTAAGTTGCGGTTTGACGGTGCTGTGTTATCCCTCAGAAGTTGCATGGTTACAATGTGTACTCATATCCCAAAGCATTTCATTCAAGAGTACAATTTCCAGGCGATCAATTCCCTGATATGCCACCTGGATTTCCTGAAAGAAGCTTTATTTCAGAAGCAGATGCCATCTGATGAAGATCTGAAGGAATTTTTTTCACAGCCAATAACATCTGAAGTTTTCTGCGATACATCCTCATTGGTCTGGTTGAGAATCCAGTGCATTTCCATTCTAAAAACCCTTCTAGTTTCTCTTGGAAAACTTGAATTTCCCAGTTCATTAAATGGGGTGTCAATAATGGATTTCTGCTTAAAGCTACCATCCTTGGTTTTCTGCACCTCCTCTAGTTCATTTAAGCTGCATTCTGTTGAGATGGAACCATTCAAGTTATTGGTCATTGATGAAGCTGCTCAGTTGAGAGAATGTGAATCTATCATACCGCTTCAACTACCAGGGATAAATCATGCCATTCTTGTTGGTGATGAATGCCAGTTACCTGCAATTGTTCATAGCAACGTGAGTATAACATTTTATTCAAGTCTTACTAATCTTTTAGCGTGTAGCATCTACTAAATAAATGCCTTCCATCTAAAAATGGTTAATAGGTGTCTAATGCGGCTGGTTTTGGAAGAAGCTTATTTGAAAGGCTAAGTTCATTAGATCATCCAAAGCTTATGCTTGATGTCCAGTACCGTATGCATCCAGCTATAAGCCGATTCCCGAATTCGAGTTTTTATCAAAATCAACTGCAAGATGCTCCAAATGTGCAAAGCAAAGCGTATGAGCGAAGGTTTCTTCTGGGAAGAATGTTTGGTCCATATTCCTTTATAAGTGTCCCCAATGGAAAGGAAGAACTGGATGATGTTGGGCACAGCAAAAGGAATATGGTTGAGGTGGCTATAGTCATTAAGATAGTGCAGAACTTGTTCAAATGTGAGTTTATCAACCCTGTGGTTTAGGCTTTTTTCTTCAATGACTTTGTTTGCCTGGTTCGTCAATTGCTAACGCTTTCTTTTGATCGCTTACATTGTTTTTGAAACGTGTTCGCCAGTAATGTTCTAACTACTCTATTTCCAAAACACAATTTACCCAGTTTGGCGCGACACTGGTAATGAAATTAGCATTGGTGTCGTATCTCCTTATGCTGCTCAAGTAGTTGCCCTAAAAGATAAAATTGGAAGAAAGTATGACAACCTTGATGGTTTTGCGGTTAGGGTTAAGTCTATTGATGGCTTCCAAGGTGGGGAAGAGGACATCATAATATTATCTACTGTGAGATCTAATCGTGCTGGAACTGTTGGTTTTATGTCTAGTTTGCAAAGAACTAATGTTGCCCTGACTAGAGCGCGGTATGTGTTATCTTCTCACCTTTTCAAATTTGAAAGTGATGCTGCCTGGTTTTGACAATTTCTTCTGTTTGGTTTCTTCAATGAAGGCATTGTTTGTGGATATTGGGAAATGAAAGGACCCTAATGGATAGCAATTCTGTTTGGAAGGAGCTGGTTCAAGATGCAAGGAAACGCCAATGCCTCTTCTCTGCCTCTGATGATTGTGACTTGTCAAAAACTATTTTGAATGTCAAGAAAGAGCTGGATCAACTTGATGACCTGCTTAATGCAGATAGCTTCTTATTCAAAAACCAAAGATGGAATGTAAAATGATTCGTTTACTTTATCCTACCTTTATCCTATTTGTAATATTTTTTGTGTCAATATGCTTTTATGATGCTATCTGTGAATGCATTAGCACTATTGGTCATTGCATTCAACTTATCTGCTTTGTCTAATTGTTTTCCATTCCACTGTTCTTAGGTTCTCTTGAGCGACAACTTCAAAAAATCATATAAAAAATTGGTGTCATCTCATTTGAAAAAGGCAGTGCTAAATCTGTTACTTAAACTTTCTGGTGGATGGAGACCAAAGAGAAAAGGTGTGGATTTGATGTGTCAAAGCTCATCACAGATTGTGAAGCAGTTTAAGGTTGAAGGGCAATATATAGTCTGTACTGTGGACATTCAGAGAGAATTGAAATACACTCAAATTTTGAGGGCTTGGGATTTATTACCTCTTGATGAGGTTGGAAAATTATTGAGACGCCTTGATAGCATATTTGCTATGTATACAGATAATTATATCAATATGTGCAAGGAGAAGTGTCTAGATGGGTATGTCTGTTCTTGCTTATCTTATAGTCAGGAAAGTTTTTTAATTACTAAATAAATTGAAGAAGATATAGCTCATCTAAATTGCTTTTGTTTTTTACCCAGGGACTTAGAAGTTCCAAAAGTTTGGCCAGTTTCTCGGGATCTAGTGAGATTCAAGAATCTTAGTGAGAGACTGGCAGACAGCTCGAATGACAGCGTGGCAGGGGATGGGAGAAGTTACATTGAAAACTCAAGAGTGAGTGAAAGCTTACTCTTGATGAAGTTTTACTCTTTATCATCAGGCATTGTCAATCATCTGCTCTCTGACAATCGTGGTGAAGAAATCGATATCCCTTTTGAAGTTACGGATGAGGAAAAAGAGATAATCAAATCGAGAAGCAGCAGTTTCATACTTGGCCGATCAGGCACTGGTAAAACCACTGTGTTGACCATGAAATTATTTCAGAGGGAGCAACAACATCATCTTTCCTTAGGAGTGACAAAAGTTGAGTCTAATAATGAGATCAACAAGCACGAAGAAGATAGCTTTGCAAAAGCTGAGAAGACAATGATGAGCCAATCCGAAGATAAGGATAAGATGGCTACTACCTTAAGGCAGCTTTTTGTCACTGTTAGCCCGAAGTTGTGCTACGCAGTCAAACAACAAGTTGCACATCTGAAATGGTAAGCTCGAACAATTTAACTTACTTTCTGTCAGATTCTATTAAATATTCACGGTGCCTTGTTTATCTTGCACTGTAATGCAATAGTTACTTCCTTACTTTTATATAGTCAAAGAAATTACCTTTGTTATTTTAGAAGTCCAATAAACCAAAAAGTGAAAATACACATACTTATCGTTCTAATATTGTAAACTGCCAACAAAACTGAGACATCCTTTTCTAGTTATCTTATTTGTCTTTAGTTTCCAAACTAACAGAAAAGTGAAAACAGAAAGTGATACTGATATAAGCTTTAATAACTGGGATTTGCTTTTATCGTGCAATCTGCATGCATGATGCATCATGTATTGTTATTGGTTGATTGCAAAATTACTTAGTCCTGGTCCTCTTAAGGTCCTCATCTGTCTTGTACAGTTGTAATTGGGAAGGACATGACTCTCATCAAAATGGATGAAACTTGTCAAAATTAACACTATAAATCATTCTACCAACTACATCAGAGACTGCATGTTTGGTACTTGATAGGAGAACTAGAAAATCTCGCCACTGAAGTGGATCTTCTAATGCTAGCAATTATCAATGGATTCTCGGTTTGTGGCTTCTGTTGTAGGCCGAGTAGATCCATTTGGTGGTAGTTGATTGGTTTTATATTTTATTTGCACAGGGTTTGTAACCGCCTTCCCGGCATTATTATGCTCGGATTTCACCGTTTTTGTTCTCAGCTTCATTTTCTTTCATGAGCCTGTGTGGCCCACATCCCCCAATCTCCCATCCTATATGTACTTCATCCTACGAAAAAAAACTACACTAGCTTTCTAGTGCAAGTAAGTTAAAAATTCAGAACATTAAGTACTCACATACCGTGGGAATATGGGATAAACTACATACTTTTCTTATCATTAAGGATCGTGTATGACAACCTTTTGGACAAACGATTAACAGCCATCAATTGCAATAGAATGAATTTCCATTTTCTTATGTCAATGATAAAACTATTTATCTTGGATTTTGATGACACTGTCTGTCTGTCTCGCATCTCTTCCTGAGTTTTGTATAAAAGAGCTTTTCTGTGCTGGTACATAATTTCAATATATTTTAACATCTTACCTTAAAGTAATATACATTGCTTTATTCAAACTGTTTTTCTTTATATTGCCAAAGAAGTTTTGTTTATTTCTTTAAACCTTTGTTTTGCATGCAGCTTTGCGCAAGGAGGAAAGTTCTCTGATGAAAACAGTCTGTTGGATATGATGGATGATTTGGATGGGTTGTCTCACTTCAAAGATATCCCTGATTCTTTTGTTTCCATTCCTGAAAGAAAATATCCTCTTGTTATCACATTCCGAAAGTTCTTGATGATGCTTGATGGAACATTGCGCTCTTCATACTTTGACCGTTTTCAAGACAAGCAAACTCCTTTTCTGGATGCAGAAACTTTATTACGACGAAAAGAGGTTAACTTTGACCGCTTTTGTTGCTTGTATTGGCCTCATCTCAACTCCCAGTTCACTAAAAATCATGATGCTGCGAAGGTGTTTACTGAAATCATTTCATATATAAAAGGAGGATTACGGGTGGGTGAGGCCCATAATGCCAAACTCAGTCGCAGTGAATATGTTTCAATGTCTGTGAGTAGGGTATCGACTTTGAATGATAAGAGAAGAGAGGAAATCTACAATATCTTTCTCGATTATGAAAAAATGAAGAAGGAGCGAGGGGAATTTGATTTAGCTGATTTAGTGAATGATCTTCATTTTCGATTGAATGAGGAAATCTGGGAGGGTGACAAAATGGATTTTGTTTATATTGATGAAGTTCAAGATCTCACAATGAGACAGATTTCATTGTTCAAGTATATTTGCCAAAATGTTGATGAGGGCTTTGTGTTTTCTGGGGATACTGCCCAAACCATTGCTAGGGGGATAGATTTTAGGTTTGAAGATGTGCGGACTTTGTTTTATCAGGAGTTCGTCTTGAAACTGAAAGGTGGTTTACATGCCACACGAAAAGATAAAGGCCATATTGCCAAAATTTCTTGCTTACTCCAGAACTTTCGCACACATGCTGGCGTTCTCAGGCTCGCACAGAGTGTTATTGATATTCTTTCTCACTATTTCCCTCTTTCAATTGATGCTTTGGCTCCAGAGACTAGTCTTATATATGGTGAGGCTCCAGTGTTGCTTAGACAAGGAAGCAATGAAAATGCCATCGTAACTATTTTTGGTAACAGTGGAGGCATTAGTGGAAAGATGATAGGATTTGGTGCAGAACAAGTTATATTAGTACGTGATGAGTCAGCTAAGCAAGAAGTTTCTGGTCTTGTTGGAAAACAAGCGCTCATTCTGACTATAGTTGAATGCAAAGGCTTAGAGTTCCAGGCAAGTGTGATAAACTAAGATTGCTAGAACATGTTTCATATTTTATTTTATTTCTTTAAATTACCATCCAGCTCTTCTCTCAGTCTTTATCTTCTTTTTTGAATAAAGGTTTTCACTTTCATAGAAACGTTTTCATTGAATTAACTTCTGTAACTACACATTATTCATCTTTATCCTTTATTGCTCTGGAAAATGTTAAACTGACCACTGTTGTCTGTTTTTTAGGATGTGCTGCTTTATAACTTCTTTGGTACTTCACCTCTGAGAAATCAGTGGAGAGTAGTGTATGAATTCATGAAACTCCGAAATTTACTTGACTCAAGATTTTCACAGAGCTTCCCTTGTTTTACTGAAGCACGTCACACAATATTGTGCTCTGAACTGAAGCAGCTATATGTTGCTGTAACTCGCACTAGGCAACGGTTATGGATCTGTGAACGTGTTGATGAGTTTTCAAAACCAATGTTTGAATATTGGATGAAAATGGGCCTTGTGGAAGTAAGGGATGTTGATGAATCTCTTGCACAAGCCATGCGCATGGCAAGCACTCCAGAGCAGTGGAAATCTCGTGGACTAACAGTTAGTCTCTCTCTCTCTCTCTCTCTCTCTCCCCCCCCCCCCCCCCTTCCTTTTTAGATAATTTAAACCCATAGTATTCTTCAGATCTGTACAGGAACACATTTTCTAATGGTAGTGGAATATATTATTCTGTGCAGCTTCTTTGGGAGAAAAACTATGAAATGGCTATCATGTGTTTTGAAAGGGCAGGAGAGAGGAACCTGGAGAAGCAAGCTAAAGCTTCCAGTCTTAGGGAAACTGCTCATCGAATGCGAGATTCAAACCCAAATGCTTCTATTTCCAATCTTAGGGAAGCTGCTGAAATATTTGAGTCAATTGGAAGGTTTAAATCTGCAGCCGAATGTTTTTGTGACTTGAAGGAGTATGAACGTGCAGGTATGACTATCTCATCCCTTAAGTTATATTTCATATTTTCATTTGAGTTCTAGTGTTTATTTTAATAATTTTTTTCATGTATGCTACAAGGAAACATTTATTTGAAGAAGTGTGGGGAACAAGAACAAAAAAAAGCTGCAGAGTGTTTTACACTGGCAGGATGTTATGGGACTGCCTCAGAGATATATGCCAAGCAAAACTGTTTCTCAGAGTGTTTATCTGTCTGCAACAAGGGGCGCCTTTATGATATGGGATTTCAATATGTAGAGCACTGGAAACATCATGCTGTCCTGTGCAATGATATTGATGGAAGAAGGAAAGAAATTGAAAGAATTGAACAGGAGTTTCTAGAAAGGTGTGCATCTGATTTTTTTGAGTGCAACGATAGGAGATCAATGATGAAGTTTGTTAAAGCTTTTAAGTCAATGGCTGATAAGCGCCAGTTCTTGAAGAATCAGAATTGTCTGGACGAGTTATTACTGATAGAAGAAGAATCTGGAAACTTTGCTGAAGCTGCAGAGCTTGCTAAGCTGAAAGGGGATGTTCTACAAGAGGCAGATCTTCTTGGTAAAGCTGGGGATTTCAGTAAAGCATCCTCATGTATCCATTGGTATATCTTGGTCAACTCTTTGTGGGTTCGCGGATGCAAGCCATGGCCCCTGAAGTCTTTTGGGTCTAAGAATGAGCTATTGAAGAAGGCAATTTCATTTGCAAGGAATGGATCTGATATGTTGTACGAGTCTGTATGTACAGAGGCAAAGGTGTTTGAACACGAACAAAGTAACTTGTGTGAATTGAGGCGTGCTCTAAGTGCTTCTCAGAAGTGTGGGAGTCTTAGAGGTGAAATTTTATGTCTCAGGAAAATTATGGATGCTCACACTGATGTTAGAGCCTCAGTTTATTCATGGGAAGATGAGTCCCCTGTGGACCTAAAGTTTGAGGAAGATACAATGTTCTGTAATCAGCTCTCTCTTAAATCCCTCTGTCATTTCTGGAATATTTGGAAACATAATGTATTAGAAATCCTTGAATCTCTTCATTGTCTTGAGGTGACTCAAGATTTTGGCAGATATAAAGACTTCGGTGAGTTCTGCCTGAACTATTTTGGCGTGAGACGGCTATTCCGTACTGATTCAAAAACCAGCTATGTCATACTAATCCCTGATGCTGAATGGGCTACAAAGGTTGATAAGACTTTCATGAGGCAGAACCAAACACTGCACTCAATTGATGAACAACAGTTCATAATCGCTGCACGGAATCACTGGAGAGTTGAGGGGCTCTCTCTTGGCATTAAAGTCCTAGAAACTCTTGAATCATTGTATAAATTTTCTATGGGGACATTCTCAGTGTTTAGACAAAGTGCGTGCCTCTTAAGTATACATCAGATATCAAAGTTTCTTCTCGAGTCCAAGGAGTTAAGCTGCAAGAATTATGACGGGAAACTACAAAAGTTCTTCCAGCTTTCAATGAATTATTTTGAGAATGTTTTTTCTATTCATGCCCAAAGGTCTATGGAGGAAAACATGATTTCTCTAAGAGGAACTGATGCTTCTCGAAGCTTACTTGAAGAATATATAAGCCACAGTCTTAGTAGAAAAGGCGAACCGGCTACACTTGGGAAAATTGGACGGTTCATGACGATATGGTTAGGGTCTGCCAAACCTTCAGATGAACTGTGTAATAAGCTTTTGTCACGAACCAGAGAGGACTCAGCCTGGAGAGCTTTCATAGAGATTCTTAAGAGTGCTAAAGAGCCAAGGAAGTTGGTTCATGGGTTCCATCAAGCCTTGGGAGAAACATATAATGTATATTGGCATCACATGTATGACTATATTTCACCTCACTGCTTCTTATTTCTCATGGAGCGCTTCTTGATCTTGGTTTCCTGCTCTAGCGCCTCCTTTTACACAACAATGTCCTCTTTTCTGGAGTGGGGGATGTGTTGCGAACCAGATGTCATTCCCACTCACAGTCTTCCAATTCAAGAATCTTGTATGTTCTATGAATCCATCCTGTCTATGGTGCTTGACCTCCTCCTCAAGAAACCTAACAGAGATCTGTGGGTTGTGAAGTTCGGCATTAGATCTCGTGAGTATCACAGGTCTCTGGTTTTGAGGTTGGTGCTCATTCTCTGCACACTCTGCATGAACTATAACTCTAGGGAACCATGGAATCGTCTACATCATGTACTGGCAACGAATTTTATTTGGTCTGATCTTCCGAGAGAATTCACTCAAGTTTTCAGGAGAGGGAGACAAATTTGTGCAAATCTAGGAATAATTGCTGAAGCTCTCCGAGCAATAGGAAATCCTGGTTTTCTAGTGCGTGTTGACATTAACACTCCCAAAATCCGATGTCCTCCCTACATTACTCCTATAGATATGGGTGTAAATTCCTCGTGGGAGGACATCATGGATACAACGTTTCCAGGGAAAAGATGTGTTTCTATCGGCCAAGAAGAAAAAAAGCTTCAGAAGAACTCATGTTGCCTGCTTCCTTTGAGTGTATACCATGGCATGAAGAGTTCTGCGATGGAGCCTTCTTCAAACAACAATGCGTCAATGCAATTTCAGGACCTGAATGGCCAGGAGGAAAGCACTTTGCAGATGAAATGGTCTGTTTTGGATGATGTTTCTGTTTCTTGGGAATTAAAGGTAAAATCAAATGAATGATTGTCCCAAATGTTACATAATGCCATCATGTTTTGTTGTAAAAAACATCACCAGTTTGATCACAACTCAAAATATCAATAAAATAAATAATATCATTATATAAAGGCATAAATAAAGAAAGATAATTATGGTAGTCATACTTAGGAAAGCACCACATGTTTTAGTTGTATCTAGGTAAGCACCGTAAGCTTAATGCAAGGAATCCCCATATTTATTACTGTCTTCTGTTGTACCACACTATTTTCACTGCTGAATTTTTTTTGTTTCTCTTTTAAATTGTTTAAAGGACGACCTTGATGAATGTTTGAAGTTCATGACTGCGGTGGTTGATCATTTGTCTGGAGAGAAGGCAACTCCCTCCAGGGAAAGCACAGATATTTGTGAGGAAATGCAATGCATGCTTCAAGATTTTAAACAACTTTCAGACGCGTTGAGTACGAGGTGAGTTAAGGTTTGTTTGGATGAGAGGGCTTTGAAGGCGTTTAGAGGGGTTGAGGATCAAACGTCTTTAGAAAGTTATGTTGCTTTTGGTATATGAATAACGGGAATCGACACAATAAAATTTAAAATTTGCATTTCGATTAAAACACATTGTTGGCATGGTTGTTGTAAATATATACAGTAACTGATGTATATATATGATGCAAACAAAATTGACAGTTACACGGATGAAGAGGAAAAGAGAGAAAATATTGGCAAACTGCAGAAGAGCTTGTTGTTGAGAAAGGGTAGAGTGGAAGGCTTCTTGAACACTGTCATTGTGAGGAAGGATGGAGTCGAGTTTATATCAGTCAATTCAGAGGGTGACGGACCGCCTTCAAATGAAAATGCATCTGAAGAAGAAGAGGAAGACAAGCTTGATGATGAGGCCACGAATATGAAGCTGGATAACAAGAGGACGAATCAGGGTAAACAGCGGCAGCAGCAGCAGCCAGGGAAGGGGAAGAAAAAAGGGAAGAAAAACAAGGCTAAAGGAGGAGGTCGTGGAAAGAAGTGACAGCAGCATATGAGTAAATGAATGATGTTTATTGTATAGGTGCAAACTCATTTTGTGATGTGTGTAAAATGTGCTGCATTTGTTAAGATGATGGCCTTCCTAGGGGGATTTGATAAACCGAAATGTCACCTGAGGGGTGGCCCTCCTACGTGTTGACAGTAAGTTTCATATTTTCATTTTTTAAAATTGGCCTTCTAGACTTCTAGTACAAGCTATGATTAGTCAAAAAAAAAGAAAGCCAAAATGAAAAGTAGAAAAATAAAACTACTCCGTATATAATTTTTGTGAGAAGGATATAAGAGGTTTTTTCCCATAAAGCCAAAGAAAATCTATTTGCCAAATTAGGGTTGAGTTAAAACTATATATCAAAATACTTTGCGTGAACCATATTTATAGAAAGCAGCCAAATGCAATGGCGACTTCTGTTGAAATAGTTTACGTGCGAAAGTTAGGCAGCCGACTACTAATGCAAAGAGAGAGGCTGATGGGACCCATTTTAAAAACAAAATCTCTTTATTCTTTAAATGGCTACAACCTTAGGGTATATTTACCGAAATACATGAGGGTATGTTTATAAATATTAAAAGTTATGAGAATGTATTTATAAATATTAAAAATTATAAGGTTGTATTAAATATTATAAGATTTTTCTAAATCTTATAATAATATGATATGAGTCCAGTTCAAGTTCCAGGAAGGTTCAGAACCATAAATCTTAAACAACTAGCCAGTTTGGTCACTTTGAAGGAAAAGAACTGGACTAGCCAGTTTGGTCACTTTGAAGGAAAAGAACTGGCTTAAGGTTGGGTCCGACTGCCTGAGTCCCAATTCCAGTTCTTTAAACGGTCGTCAGTTTGGTTTTGGTGTAAATAACCAGCCCTTCCCAATTACTCTCTGGTTCAGACTTTGATGTAAATCCTGCAGCATTGTTCAATTGGGGGGGGGGGGGGGTATGCTGTATGCAAACAGTCCAACGGATGTGCTGGGGATGGGGTTGTCTCATTCTAATGGTATTTCAAATAATCAAATTTCTTCCGTTAGTAATTCCAAAAATAGTTTTCATCATTTACAATGGAACCAGAGACTCACTACTTTTTTGACTTAGCAATATGATGGAACTAGTATTTTTACCCGTGCCGTGCACGGGATAAAATGATTTTGCTAACAGAAATTCATTTTTTTAGTCAATTATAACATTGGTTTATAATGCAAATTTTAATTTATTGACTATGTCCTATTTTTGTACTAATTGTCTCAACAGCTTTCCACACTATATTTTTCAATGGAAAGAGCAATTTTTTTAAGAAAAGAGTTTATAATATATAGTTTTGTTATATTTTCATTAATGAAGGCGATGACAACAACAATAGGTTGTATATTGTGATTGACAGTGATCGATTTACTTTTCATTAAATTTGAGTTATTAATTTAAGGTATATATGATCTTATTAAGTAAAGTATGTGTTATTGAACAAAGAAATGTTGCTTGTTATGGACAACTTGTATAAAGGGCTTGTGTCACTTCTGAGGGTTTACCATTGCACACAAAATGAATATCTTCGAGGTGATTGTAATCGACTCTTGGGTTTTATTTACGTCGGGTGATCATTGATCGTTATTCCACGAAAATACGATATGTAATTTACCAAAGTTGCAATAATGGTCTCAGGTTGATTGGTTTGAAATATAATAAGGTTGTATTATTATTTGATTTCATTTGTGGTGAGTACATATCGATATATATTGTTGATCTAATTCGAATATTAAATTGTGTTCTACTTCTGGGTTTTCAATTTTGTTCCGTATAAAATGACTTTTAGGTTTTAGATTTTTCATGTCAACAATACGTAAATGAAATAATTATTTTAAATACATTAGTTTGGATTATAATGTTATTGTTTTATCATGCTTTAATAATATCTTTAAGAGACACTAAGATTTATTTAGATGCAATATTATCCAATAATTCTACAACGTTATGCACATTGCTTTTTGAGAAAGTTGATATCTGGACTCATACTTAAAAAGCTTCAAAGATTTGTGTGATAATACATGTATGGGCATTCCGGGTTTAGAGGTCAGTAATATTGTTTCAATTGTTTAGATATTTGGTATGAAGGATGCATATATGTATGGAGTAAAATATGACAGTTGTTGGGGTTTATTCCTTCAACCCTCGGGTCCAACACGTAAGCCCAAGGATTTCGAGTGGAGGGTGTATGAATATCTAGCCCAACAGCAAGTGGTATGGATCAGAGAGAACAATAGATAGCAAGTAAGTGATTAGGTATTATTATCTCTTAATAACTCCCTAATACAATACTTCTCACTAAGGCTCGTCGGCCGTTCGTCTTACCAGGCAGTAGAAGTGCTGCGAGTAAGAATGCTATAGCTAGAGTGCTAAGAATAGAAAGTTGTCAACCCTTTATTTTTATTAATTTTTATTTATAATAATAGTGCACAACTGTGCGGTTATAGCGCATGCTAATTTTATAAAAAGTGCAAATTAAAATGTTTATAATTAAAATTCGAGTTCATAATTTCCTAGTGAGTTTAATGTTTTCTTCTCTAAATGATCTAGCACCGTAGTTTAAAATTCGGTCCTTAATATAATCTAGCACCGTAGATTTCTCAAAATGACAAGAATGTTCAATATCAATTTTTAATAATAATTTCGATATAGAAAAATCATTAAAATAGTTCTCATCAGACCAAGGAATAATGGGATCCCTCAGAGAGTTAGAGTCCACATTATTTGAAATAGTTCTCTTCAATTTTTGTATAGTTACTTAATAATGCTAAAACTTAAAATATTTTTTACTATGTAGGAGTTAATTACTTAGAAATTGAATAGTAATGAACAACCGTAACGAACTGTACCGAAAATTGGTACGAAACGGGATAAGTTCTAAATATATTCGGGATGATACCGGTTCTTTGTTTTTTAAAAGAACCGTACTTTGGAAAGAGACAATTTTTTTAAATAACCGTCTGGTACCGTTCCATGCTCACCCCTAGCTTTGACACAGCAAGCCGATCATTCAATTGCCTATACTAGTAAGTGAATAGTCGACCCAACACATCAAACTAGCAGCCCAAGGAAGAGAGCTAATTGGATTGGCCAAGAAAGTTACACATTGGTGCCCATATTTATAGCGGGGGTCTTCATCTCGACAATCCATTCGAGCCTTAAACATTTGTCCAACTCTTCACAAGAACATCGGTAAAGTAAATTGATGGGGTACTATTATCGGGTAAGGTACGAGCCCGGGAGATTGAACAAGGTGGCAAATGCTCATTCAAGACGTGACGAGTATATTCCCAAGCTTCAAGCCATCTATACTCCTCCCATTGACTTGTTTGATCACATCTGCAAGGAAGTCACCACTGCCCGTGAAGGCCATGAGTATGACACACTGAAGCATATGATCGAAGCAGGAGATTTGAGTATTGGCTAGAGATTGTGGCATTGCCTGTTGTTTTGTGTGGACCAAAGGCCTTCCTCATCCCATCTTGAGCCACAATTCCTACCATTTTGTCCACCTTTCATGAAATCATGACATGCCCCACAAGGAACCAAGAAAACACTCTAACAAATTAGGAGGGACTTTTATTGGAAAAGCATGAAGTGGAACATTACTAATTTTCTTTAGAAATGCCAAGTTTGTGACTTGTGAGTAGCACATGTGGTTAAGCCTCCAATCCGTCAAGCTACTTCAACCACTAACTATTCCATGCAATTTATGGTTGGATGTCTCCATGGGAAATATGTTATCATGGTAGTTGTAGATACACTCTAAGTCAGCCCATTTCTCACGATCACTCCTTTATTGTCATTTATGTGATTACATTGATTTTGCTGAAGTTTTTAGGTTACATACTTACATGGTTTGCCGAAGTCCATCATGGTTTGCCGAAGGACTTCTCCTATTTGAGTGGCACCAAGATTTTATTCTCCTCAGTCTACCACCCCAAGTCCAACAGCCAAACTAGGGTGGTAAATCGCACACTTGAGATGTTATTACATTATTTGCCTGCTTATTTCCCTAAAGTCCCAAACTATAAGTTCAATAACTTCCTTTGGCAGAATATAGTTGCAACTTGCAATGTGTCCTTCCACTCTTCCTTAGGTGACACTGTGACACCCCTTATGTGTGGTTGATGGGCGAGATCCTAGCTCCACAGTTTCTTTCAAATACTGTTGGCATAGCAATGGATGTTATGGACAAGACATTGATCATTAGAGATGAAATTTTGGCATCAACTATGCCAAGGCTTGCTGAGGCCTTCAACTGATTGAAGCTCACCTAAGACAAAAAAACACAGGGTCTTGAATTTCAAATGTATGTGATTTGTTGTGGCTTCACATTGATCTGTATTGACAACTCCTGATCATGATGCGACATCATAAACTCTTGCCTAAATATTAAGAAATTTTACTGAATAGGAATAAAAGCAAAATGGTTCCCTAAATGGATGTAAATACTGTAATTTTAATACCTGATAATATAAAAACATAATACTCCCAAGTGTATAAGTGTATAACCTCGAGCTTACTGGTTGGACCTACCACCATGCTGAAAAACTCATAACTTGTTCGGTTGTTCTTTGTCTCTTCTCAAGCCACACCATAGGCCAATTACCACAATACGACCTTGCTAAGTCCAAAATTGGCCCTCAAAGGACATCCCGACAAGGGAATTAAAAGCAGCCACTTGGAAACCTTGAGATCACTTTCATGAAACTCATCTAAAATCAAGCTTGGGGACATGCTTGGCATTGAGCAAGGAGTGATCTTATGGACACATTTTGGGACATCGGATATAAAATGAAAACCACGTGCACTACGGACCACAAGAAAAGAAAGAATTGTAGATTATTATAAAAATTTTTAATTGTTGCAATTGTTAAGAAGTTAGTTTCATTTGCGTAGGATAAGGAAATTTATTGTAAAAAAAACTCTATTTATTGATACAACTCTGGAAGAATACAATCAGGCAATTATTCATCCTAAACTATTGAGCATTAGTCTAGGAAAAACCTCCTCTTCTTCCCTAGGACTCGTCAAGGAAGATCCCTCCCACACATAGCATAGACCCTTGGCGAGAGAACTGCTGCTTCCTCCATCCTACCCACGCATAGCATAGACCTTAGACGAGGGCCTGCACAAGCACGCTTAACAGGACCACACT